TACAATCACGAGCATGGTGCCCTGAACCATAGTTGCACTGCAAGAGCGTGCGTGCTTGGCAGGGACGCTGACAGCCCGGACCTCGCGCTCTTGTAGCTTCTAGTCTTGTGGCCAGCAGGCGCCCGTTGCCTTCCGTAATGCTCCGGCTGCGAGTGCGCCGAAGTGGAGTCAAAGTTAGAAAGCTTGATCGCGCTGGAAACAGGTCATCTACTGCCGGTCTTATGTTGGAACAGAGCACACCATACTCTCGCACAAGGTGAAAAGGAGTATTGACCAACTCAACTCTCTGGCGTCACGGCACTGTGGCGGCGCTGCTGTCGGCACTGCTCATGCGCGCGCGCTTCACGGGAATCTGGTTTTTGCGCTCGCACAGTGCCCACACCTGGTGTGGGCAAACGCTGACTTGTTTGCAAACGGTGCGTTGAGTGTTGCTCACCGTTCATTCCCAGTGAGCCCAGAAGAGTCTCTTCGGGGTCGCGGGCTCCGTGACGTCAGCGGTGGTTTTATCTTGATATGCTTGTGCATTGCCAGTACCTGTTGTCGCTGACAACGACGAAGGATCATTGTCGAGCTGTTGTGCTCAAGTGAGCTTAAAAAAGAAAAAAAGAAAAGAAACAGCATTTCCGTTTGCGACGATTACGGTGATGAGAGTTCACGACGTCAGTATCCGCCCTGATGGAGCATGGTTCGGTTTCATCTTCTCTGGCTGTCGAGGTAACTGCGAAAAAAGGCATAACAAAAAAACGTTCATTTGAACGAGGGCGCCCATGAGGGGTCGTTGAGTTATCGTTGGTAGTCGGGTTCTACGAATAGTGGTTCGAATCGACTAGCGCTGCATCACTCATAGCTTTCACAATGCAAAGGCACGGTACACCGGCTCTCTTTACAGTGGTCAAGCTTGGGATGACTCTGCTGCTCTATTCGATTCGAAGGAGTGTTCGCGCACCCCTAGTTATTAGAAATCAATTACCGGGCTTACACTTTAGCAAAAGAGGGAGTCAGGGTTCCTCCTCCCTCCTCACCCTGTTTCCTGCTATAAAGACAGCCTTATTTAAAAAAAAAAAAATACGTCAATGATTAGTGGAATTTTCTGACGGTGAATGCGCGAACGATGTATAGGGTGCGGCCGTAAGGACTAACCTAACTGGTGCGCCTTGCAAAAATCAAATTACAAACGTACCATTGGGTTCAAATGAAATGCGAACAGTAACGCAACTTCTAGCCCACTACCGGCGCAGCTTCCAAAGCTTGAATTGTGCTCGGCGTGGTTCAAACACATCGGAGTACGACGCACAACGTCGCAGCGCCCTATACTCCGATATGTTTGAACCTCTTTTTCCCTTACTCTCCTCCCCAGCCACCTGGGAGGCCTATCCGGCATGGGCGACAAAAAAAAAATAATAAAGCAGCTCGATCTGCAAATAGTAAAAATATCGAGGGGAGGCAAAACGAGAATGGGTGACGGTTACACTGATATCCATAAAAATGAAGCAAAATCGGAAGCCGTGTATTTCCCATGTTTTATAACAGCCTGTTTGTCGTCTGCACACTGCTTTATGAGCTCCCTCCCGGGTGACTTGCTGAACTCAAAATCGCTCAAAACCAATAACAGAGGCTGGCAAATAATGAGCAAGATAATTGAGATAATTAATGCGTATAAGAAAATATATGAACAGTGACCACCTGAGAGCAAGCTCACAAAACAGTGTGCAGACGACGAACATCCGGTATATGGCAGAGGAAATGCACGGCCGCTGTTTTTCCTTTCTTTTTAAAATTTTACCAACTCTGACTTGTCCCGCGCATACATGATTCACGAAAGTTTCACATCAGCGGGATATCCGACCAGCCTTCTGTCAGCACTGTCAGCGGTGACCGAGAGGTCGTGTACTCCGTCCCATATCTGCCTGAACGAACGTTTGAGGGAACGTCGATGCAACGTAGATACGGCCATATCAGGGCATATCGGCGTGCACTGCAAAAATTTTGGTTGTGCCCCCCCCCCCCCCCCCTTCATCTTCACTGACTGCAGTATTGTACTACTAGACAAAAACAGAGGCAAGAATACGCGGGACTCCCGCGTAATTTTGCCTCTGTTTTGGGAGATACTTGAGGCCCCAGAAATTGTTAGATTGGGACTGCAGTGTGTCAGCATTCTCCATGTGTCAGAAAAAGAACTATAGATTTCTCGACTGAAGGAGAGCAGCTTGTGTTGCTGTCGATGAGTGATATATAACAATATGTTAGCCTTTTAACGGTGTGTATCGTATTTCTTTATCGGCGGCCTGTTTTTTGTTGACACAGGTTATATATACTAGGTGACTATGGAAATAAAGTTCAGTTGTAAGTTAACGGTGTGTCTCTGTCTATCTTCCTTGTCCGTGTCTCGTTGTGGTTTTTAAATATTACTAACAAGCACCGGTTTTTGTCTATATTCTAGGCTCTATAATCCGGTGTTTGATACTAAAGTGTGATTAATATGCAAAAGAAGCTTCGTTACACCGTAAGGAGCGTGTTGGTAGAGACTTCAAAAATACAGAAAGAATAAACATAAAGACTCGTCTGTGTTCTTGACCTCTTTGTGTTTATTCATTCTGTATTTATTTTTTTTTAAAGTTTTGTCTTTATTGCAAAAATACATAACAATGATAGGATAAAGTCCGACACACACACGCACCACGGCCGAGGGAGAGAGATCAAGGCCGTGCACACACACACAGAAAAAGAGAGAGAGAGAGGGGGGGGGGGGGGCGTAGGCGGGCAAATACCCGAAAAAAAAAAGTTTTTTTTTTTCTTTTTTTTTTTTTTGGGGGGGGGGGGGGGGGGGGGGGACTGGCGAGGCTAAAAAAACCTAAAATAATCGACCAACCAACAACGAGAAAATGGACAACTGACGTCCGTGTAATGTATGTGAAAGTCTTCTGTCTCAGGCGAGAAGGCTGTCAAGGTGATAGTGATGCAAAACTATCGATAAATTGACTATCGATAGTTTTTCTAAAACTATCAATAGTGTCGCAGAAGTATCGATAGTCGACTATCGATAGTTCTATCGATAGTTTTATGATAGTCGACTATCGATAGTTCTATCGATAGTTTTATGATAGTCGACTATCGATAGTTCTATCGATAGTTTTATGATAGTCGACTATCGATAGTTCTATCGATAGTTTTATGATAGTCGACTATCGATAGTGCTATCAATAGTTTTACGATAGTCGACTATCGATAGTACTATCGATAGTTTTTCTACTATCGATAGTCAGATTTCTGGCGACTATTGATACTATCGATAGTACTATTGATAGTTTTGCACTACTAGCAGCGTGTCCCTCTTTGCCTGCCTGTCTTCGGGGTTCAGCAAGATACAGCGGGCTACCACATAGTTTAGGTTTGCAACAGTGGGGGACTTTTGTTTTTCTTTTTCTGTTTTTTCCGCGGTAGACAACAGAAGGTGCCAGCTAATGTTGCCGAGGCTGGCGTCGTATGCTCCGCAGTCTGCGTGCATTTGTAGTAGTATTCGCGTGCGGAGCGAACACAGTTGCGGCACCGCCGCTTGCCTCCCTTCCTCTTCTCTTCGCCTAAACTCCCGTCTTCGTCATCAGTGAAAGCTGAACCAAAGTTGGGACGGTATGTGCTTGGGCTAGTTGGTGTCTCATTTGAAAAAAATAAAGCGAGAAAAAGAGAAGAGGGAGCGACGCAAACTACTAGTGTCACAAAACCATCGACAGTAAACTGTCGACAGTACTATCGATAGGTTTACAATAGTCGGCTATCGATAGTTTTCCGTAGTCGATTAACGATAATTTTCCAATAGTCTACTATCGATAGTACTATCCATAGCTTTTCGATAGTCGACTATCGATGGTACTATCGTTGAGAGTCGACTATCGATAGTACTATCCATAGTTAACGGTTGAGGTGAGACCAGTGTGGGTAGGATTGTATAACAAAGGTTGACTTTGTGACGTCGGTGGTCGGTGATTAGGTTGTGGATATATAAGGCTTTGACGAAATAAACGCAGTAGCTGAGTTTGAGACGTTCCTTTCCCCTGTCTTTTTTCTTCGACCAAGTTTCCCAGCTTTTACCACAGTCTCGGGTATTCTACAACATGATCAACTAGCCATAGAATTTCGAGAGTCGACTATCGATAGTAATACCGATAGTTCTTCTATAGTCAACTATGGATAGTACTATCGATAGTTTTTTCTATAGTCGACAATCGAAGTACTATCGATAGTTTTTTCTATAGTCGACTATCGATAGTACTATCGATAGTTTTTTTATTATCAATAGTCAGATTTCTAGCAAATATCGATACTATGGATAATACTATCGATAGTTTTGCTCGAACTGGCAGACTCCAGCCAGTGCTATCGAGAACTCTCCCTCATCGGGAGTCCCGTCTGCTGCGGGCGGCGACGCTCTGGCGAACCCTACCGGCTGCGCGGACACAGAGTATCCCCTCAGACCCTGAGGAAGTGAAGGCACTGGCGAGGGAGCTGTTCCGCGACCCCCATGGCCCCCACGCAAATGCATGATTACTTCACTTTTCTACCCCCCCCCCCCCCCCCCATACACACACACTTTTCTTTGTTTGTGTGTTTTGTTTTAACTACCTGTAAAAACTGTACAGAGAGGACGTGCGGGTTGGTGTTATGGGCATACCTACTGCATGGGCACCAGCCTTTCCGTAACACCTGCACACCCTGCACGGCCCTACCCACCCAAAGTGCAATAAAATATCAAATATCAAATATCAAACCACTGCCCCAAGGTGAACAATAAAGTTCCTACTCAAGAGCCCAAAAACGAAACTAAGTGGCGGCTAGAAAGCACTGTAAATTTTAATCTAAATTACATATCTAAACATAAACCAAATTATAATATTAACATAAGTTTTCTAATTTCAGTTTGCTATAATTTAGCATATTTAAAGGATTCGAGGTCGTCCGTTGGCTTTCTTTGGACACGTATTAAAGCAGGCGTTTGGCAACGCTGTGCATGGTTCAAGATGGCTGCTAGTTTAGGTAATAAAACTCAGGTGAAGCGGCATAAATGGTCTTTCGCCTGTTCTCAGAGGTAAGTTAGCTCCATTCTTGGTGCTTAAATCGCATATAATACTGGTGGTCACGTTTGAGGCACATTTAAACTGCCGAAAACCCCACTCTTGTTGGCACCGAATTCGCATTCTTCCGGCACGCCCGTCGCGCGTTCGTTGGTGACGTTGCGAAACAACCCTGTCGGCGTTTTTCGTTTGCCAAAGCTTCAGCGGCCACAGTGCCAAAGTCCCTTCACTGGCGCAGTAATTTTAGCGTTGCGCCAAATCCTGTGAAGTGGGTACGCGCGCGGGCGTCTTCCTTTACCTTCTACCGTAGTTTGGTAGAGGCAGTATGGAAGCTCCCGGAGTTGCAGCGTTATTTGTAAGAACTGTTGTTAAGAACTGTTAGTTCTAGTCTCGTTGTAATCCACCGCGTGCACCATGAAATTATGTTTACTACATGTGGCGCCCATATTCTGAACGTTGCACAAACTACTAGCTGGGTATGGGATGGAGGGGTGCTCGAGTAAAGTGCTCAGTTTCCATGTGCATGCTGCAAGCATCATCACCTCTTCACAAATTAATAATAACTTTTATTTGCACGGTTTACTTTTCGTGTGAAGCGAGACGGAAAGGTTAGGACCCTTACGCAGCCTGCCAATGCGCCATCGATTGAGCTAGCAGGGTTATATAAGAACTAGAGTTCTGGTGGGTAATCTTCGAGAAGCATCCTAGTCTAAATTTGAGTGTTTTTCCTTTTTTTGTGCACGCAGGCACTCTTGCTGGAAGCCTAATGACCTAAAACAACAAATGCGTGCCTTTGACTGCAAGTTTATTGTCGTTAATAAACATGCATGAACTGTTAGCAATTTATGTACTGGCCGACTATTGTCCAACTGCATGCTGTGATTTCCACTCACAAGCTTATAAGACTCAGTCATGTGCGGTGAAAGTGATCAACCAACGTCTCTGATCTTGCCACACTAATCAACAGCTCCCAGTTAAGGCCAGAGGGAAAAGTAACCTCCATGTTTTTGGAGAGTGCTTATTTATGCATTACAGATGATCCACTTTCTAAAACATTCGACGCTGCTCATTCAGCATCGAAGCAGAGGTGGACAACCGTATTTTAGTGGCCATATTTTGGTTACGAGAACTGGAATTGGAATGAAATTGGTTTCGTTCCTGTTTTTTTAGGTTTAAGTGTTTATAACTTGTGTTACCAGTCTTGCATACCCCAGAAACCAGTATTTTTTTTTCTTGTCACTGTTGAAAAATGTTTGTTATAAAAATCCAGCTTGGTTAAACATAATGTAGGTAAAACAGCGCAGAACGACAAAGACTAAAAGGAAGGAACAACCAAGACGGGACGGGCGTCTTGGTTGTTCCTTCTTTCTAGTCTTTGTCGTTTTGCGCTGTTTAGCTACATTATGTTTAGCCCACAACAACTAGCCCAGCTTTCAACTTTGGTGCAGCTTGGGGCGAATATATGAGAGGCCTATAGACCTTGGCATGGGGCTGGGGTCGGGCTGGGTGATGTGTCGGGAGCAAACAATGCAACCTTGTCAAATATGAACACATGATTTTGGCAACAGCTTTAATTATGTATAGTGAATCTTTGAACATGCAAAAATCAGTCAGTTTTGTTCACATTTTAATGTAGAAAAAAGTGACAGCTGACGTGTTGCACGCTATAAGCTTTTTAGAAAGGTGCCAGACAGAGCGTTAGTGTCATGCTCTGTAAAAGAAGCCTGTGCATCCACTTTTCTGCATCAATTGCAGTCGGCCAATTGCTGCAAATTATGAAAGAGTCTTAGCAAATAATGCTCGGGATAGGAGTCGGCCTAAAGATTGTGAGTGCACATTTGGCTGTGACAAGTGCCATGAAGTTTATTACTCATTCTGCACTGGCACATTTTGACTCCAATTTTATTTTGAGTTCTATCATTTCTACCTTAGTACAGTGCAGTGACCAACTTCCCACGCATTCTGCAGGAAAGTGAACTTATAGGCTATTTTAGAGAGTGCATAGCCAGTCTCCATTCAAGCAGCAAAAAAAAAGAAGAAAAAAAAAAACTGCTTTGTCAACATTTTCTTAAAATGAGTACAAATCCCAAGAGAACAGAACTTCCAGCCTGGTGTGAATCACGTCATGATAAGGTAGAACTTTGGAAATACAGACTTGGGCTAGTTAGAGATGTAAATACTCTGGTCGGATCGGCTCAGGCCAATCTTCAAAAGGTATATTGGGCTCGGGCCAAGTTTATGTCAAAACTTTATTGGGTTGGTCGGTTCGGGTCTCAGATTTTTGGCCAGATCAGATCTCTGGAGAGAGTAGTCTTGTGTGAGCTTGTTCTCTGATGTGCATTATTTCATTGAATTAATGTTTTAAGTTGTGAAACTCGCATTGGTTCTCATTTACCATCACTAGAAACCTGCAGGCTGAGTTAGATGCTCACATTACTTTTATGTTGCTTTTCAGGCGAACTGACAGGATTACAGAGCTGGCTTCTCCACCTGGGTACAGCTCATCATTAGGACAGGGCCATGCTGAAGCCAGCAGAGAGACAGAGGCAAACCTCATTGTTAAGGCACGTTATCTCTCTTTATTCTTGGTAGTTTTCTTTCACTGCATACTTTATGGCATTGGTGATGCGAGGACTTCTGCACGCATGCTCAACATGATCTCGAACAAGTGCATCTATTTGTGCTCTCCGCAGCCACTTCGTCCCAACTACCAAGCGCCCATCTCTTTATTCTTTTATTTATTGCCTTAACATTGAGTGTGGGCGCTTGCTTGTGCTGTACTGGATCATGTGCTGTTCTAGTCGGTTCTAAAATTTAAGCAAACAGTAAAACTTCGATGGACCAAGAAGCAATTTTTCTGACCTTTGCTCAATGTTGTTTGGAATTACCCATGGTATAGACAATGCATGACGCTCACTGTAGCTTTTTCTACTGTGTTCTTCGTAGCAGTGGAAATCAAGGTGGTGCATGTGGATTGGTGATACACTGAGCAGGCACCTTGAGTGTCGTTAGAACTCAACTATTCCCATCACCGCTCAGATCGGAAACAAGCCTGAATCTAAATGACCGGCAGCGTGTCGGTACTAACCAAGCCCAAGCAGAATGATGACACTTTGCGGTTAACCAGGCTGAACGTTGATGCTGTACTCCGATCTTGTACGGTAGCCACATTTATCTCTTGTGCTTTGACAATATAGTGAAGCGCTTCCCAGTCGGTTGAATGGACTACTAGCCTCATGTGGCATCGTGAGAATCACAATCATAGCTGCAAGCTTTCCGAAAGAAAAGTAAAGGATGTCTGGTTCTTTTCTTTTAATTATACAAATGAAGTTATGTAAGCTTCTGGTCCATGGGTACTACATTTTAGCCTCTGATGGCCCACTACCACGCGCGCCCACATCCGGGGGAAGCTCTTAAAGTAACCGCATAAATTGGCTTGGTAACATATCTCGCTGGATTTACCTGGGAGGTGCCCAAAGGTGGTGGAAGCATCCCATCAAAATTTCAAAGAACAAACTTACCTGAAGAAAAGAAAAACTATAACTCATTTTCCCTACCTACGGCACCCATCTCCTATCCGCGCATTTTCTGACTGGTGCAGCAACCGACAGATAGCAGCAGCGACCCCGGCAGCAGCTTACCGCGCAGTCACGCCAAAAGCTGACAGTGTTTTTGAATCATAAACACTGCACGCTTTTTCAGTGCTATAATGGCCAATGCATGATTTCTTTTTTGTTTCCAATAAAACACATTAATTGAACAGAAAACAAATGAAACCGATGGTTCATTGAGTAATTTCAGCTACACGTCATCTGGTTTTGGCGCAACTGGAAGCTAAACTGACGCGGGGCCGCTGCCGCCATCTGTCAGTTGTTGCGCCATTCAGAGGGCGCGTTGATAGCAGACAGGCGCGTAGGTAGAAAAAAATTTATCGTTTTTTTTACTTTTTACTTGGGTAAGTTTGTTCTTTGAAATTTTTATGCGATGCTTCCATCACCTTCGGGCGCCTCTCTGGTAAAGCGTAGCGCGATACGTTACCAAGCCGGTTTATGCGGTCACTTTAAATGCTTCCCCCGTATTTGTGGTCATGCGGGATTGCGAGACAGATACATCAAGTATGTTCGGGGGCGGACACAGGTATGAGAGGGGGGGGGGGGGGGGGGGGGCAGTATGTCATATGGTTAAGACCCCCCCCCCCCCCCCCCCCCCCTCCCCCTGTTTCTTTGCGCTAAATTTTTACACTTGCAGAATTCAAGAGGGGGATCAGGACATCGGTTTATCTCAGTGATCAAAGTTAGTGGTCACACTGTATTGATTGAAAGTGAAATGTTATCTCTAATTCTCATACAGAAATCCTGGGATGTGGCTTTGGCCCCCTGGAAGCAGGTTCCAATGAACTTGTTTATCATGTACATGGCAGGGAATTCTATTTCCATCTTTCCCATCATGATGGTTGGGATGCTGTTTCTGAGACCTGTCAAGGCACTGCTTACCATCCAGTCAAGTGAGTCATTTTGTGTATCATCAGCAATCTGTTGTTAGCACACAGTATCTGATCTTTATTTGTTTGGCCTCTTGTATGCTTATGCTGATTGTCATGTTGAGATTTGTGATGTGGGTTCTGCTGGAAAAATACCATCAGATAAGTCAGTTACATTGGTTGTCTTAGCTCAGTTTCCTGGTTTGGGGAATCAGTAGTAGAAACAGATTGCAGCAAGTTATAGGGTGAAAATATATGGATTTATATTTAGAAGGGCATAGAGCAGTATTTCAGATATCTACCTGCTTTCATTTTTGTGGGCATTAGCAAATTGTGACGTTCAAAATATGACAGTTCTTATGTTTGTGTTGGGATTTCCCTATTTGCAACCGGTTTCATTCTTCATAATATTGTGTTGCACAAGCTTCATCTTGTGCAACCCCACATAGGCACCCACAAGCATGAACAAGTTTCTTGATTGCTGCTTTAGAAGCATCATAGAAGCGAGGTGTGTCCTAGTTTTTCATGAGTTATCACATTTGAAAAGTTGTACTATTTTTGGTGAGTTACCTTGTTACTCGATTAGTTTCCACTGTCATTAAACAAACGGCAATTGTCGGCCCCGACTAAGTCGACTCTTCTGAACTGAGATGGTGCTACATGGCTGTTTCAATTGCAGTTGAAACCAAAACAAAATCAAATCTGGTGTCACATGATCTGTCTAAATAGTGAAGTAAATTGATTTTAGACACACTTTTTATTGCTGAGAAGCATTTGAAACGAGATATATAAGCCTTTCTTTATGGAGTAAAGAAAATAAGATCAAAGTGCTTCAAACAAACAAACAGGAGAGGCACAGCAGAAGCCACTTGGCCATTGCATCTTTCCAATTTTTGTGGTTTACCAAGACCTTACGCTGTTCTAGATTAGTTCTCCACCATGTCAGTAATTTTACTGACTTGCCAAATTGCTACCTTTTCTGTACTGGAGATAGCTATCTGTGGCATTTTAGATAGCGTTACGAGAATCACAGCTTTGATGGGTGCTCAGGGTGTACAACTGCATGGACACCTCATAGTTTTGACTGCATTGCTTCAGAAAGCTGTCCCCAAGTATATACGAGGGTAGATTGGAAAGTTTCTGGAATGAAAATGAAAACAATATATATCTGATTTAAGTTATACTTTATTTTTTGACATAATCCCACGAAAGCTCGGCACACTTCGTCCCGCGTTTCTCCAGCTTTTTGATCTCCTCCCGGAAGTGTCGTTGTTGGAGATACCCAAAATAGCTGTTCACAGCCTCCTTCACCTCTTCATTCGACAGAAATTTCTTTCCAGCCAGAAAGGTCTTGAGCTTCGGGAATAGGTGGAAGTCCGAGGGAGCCAAGTAAGGTGAATACGGTGGATGCGGAAGGAGTTCGAACTTCAGTTCTGTCAGTTTTTGATGAGTGCCTGCACTTGAATAGGCGGGTGCATTGTCGTGGTGAAACGCCCGTTTCTTGACCATTCTCAAGCGTTTTTTTTTTTTCATTTGTTTTAGCTTGTTTAGAAGTATTATGTAGTATTGGCCAGTAACAGCTTTTTCCTTTTCAAGATAATGATCAAAATTCCTTTGGCATCCCACAAAACTGATGCCATCACCTAGCCAGCCGGCTGAATTGTCTTTGCCTTCTTTGGAGCCGATTCACTGGGCCCAGTCTATTGTTTCGATTGACTTTTTCTTTCTGGCGTGTAATGGTGGACCCAGGTCTCGTGTGGATTTGCCTGAAACACTTTCAAGCTGTCGGCTGACGTTCAGGCTCGAATCCGTTTTTGCTCCGGATTGACCAAGTGCGGCACCCATCTTGAAGAAAGTTTCTTTAATCCAAATTCATTGTGTAAAATATAAACAACTCGTTCAGAAGAGATGCCCACTGCTTCCTCATTCACACACTTTTATGTGGTGGTCTCCCAAAAACCCAGTCATGGATTTTATTCACAATTTCTGGTGTGGTAGCTGTTTTTGGACGTCCTGAACGTGGTTCATCACTTCTGTCTGTACGACCATGCTGGAATTTGGAAACCCAAAAACTCGTGGTGGAAAACAAAAGTGACGAGTCCCCAAGAATGGCATTCAACCTGAATTTGATTTCCGTCGCAATTTTCCCCTCCAAATAAAACAAAAAAAAAAAATTGATGACCGCTAGGATTTCGTTTTTATCCACCATTGAATATGTTCATGGTTGCTCGACCAGAATGCTTGTCAAAGCCAGACTTGTTGAGATATCGATCTGACAGTTGTGGTCATTTCATACAAAGGATGGCCAACACAGCGACATAAAAATATTTTGGAAAAAAAGCTCCTGAACGGCAATTCCGGAAACTTTTCATTGTAACCTCGTATACGTATATATTTTTTTTTTTGGGGGGGGGGGGGGGGGGGGGGGGGGGGGGAGGGGAGGGGAGGGGAGTGGGTTATCAGTATAAAAATCTTGATATCATTAAACAATTTTAATTATTTTGTGACCTTGGGGAATTCTTTTTATTCCAGCTTTCAAAATGATTGAGGGAGGCCAAGCGATTCTTCAAAAAATAGTGTACCTTTTTGGCAACCTGGCATGCTTGGCTTTGGCTCTGTACAAATGTTCTTCAATGGGTCTTCTGCCAACACATGCATCTGATTGGTTAGACTTTGTAGAGCCTCTTCAGGTAAGATCTATCTCCCTGAACTAGCTATTAATCTATTACTTTCATTAAAGGGGAATCGCATGTTGGTATCTCGGCTTACATGTTGGCTTGAAACTGAAGCAAAAACTGAAGTGCCCACATGGATTTGGGCCACTACTTTTGCTGTCCTGAGAGCTTGTTTCCTAAACCATCTGCTAAGTAGCCTATCTTTAGCAGTTGGGAGATCAAGGTACTTCTTTTCCTGGGGCCATGCCCCAAGGAACAGACTGCCATGGGATAGCAGTCAACTTACCATCTGTGGGACAATTAATAGACCTTGGTTGCACGAAGACCACGGGAGGTTCCAGCCTTCTAAATTAGTGAATTTCAGGTGGTAGAGATATGGTCGGTATGCCCCATTTGCATGAAATTTGCCCGCAAGCATAGAGAGTTCTAGAGTATTCTAAAAAGTGATCCCTGATAAATATGCCTAGCATCACTATTGCACACCTTCATGATTTTCTTCTCTTCTTTTTTCTTATGTCTCTTCTTGGAGTTTTTTTTTTTTTATGTCTCTTTTTGGAGCTTTATTTTAAATATAAAATTGATCTCCTGTATGAAGGCAGAAATAAAATGATGCGGAGGTGAACTTATAATAAATTACAGCTTGCAGAATTAAGTTCCAAAGTTTAGTAGTGCAATTTTTAGCTTTTTACCACCAATTCATTGTGCCCAAGGCTGCAGTTGTCTTTCAGCGCTCGCTCATTGGAGACTGTAAAGCATGGAACACATGAGCAGTGAAACTGGGCACCCGGTGCCATTCGCGCACCGCACGGCTTTAACTATCGACCACTGATCTCCACTATAGGGGGCTGGATGGCGCATTGAGCAGACAGGTATGAAGCCACCGGAAGTAAGCGCTTGACAGGCTTTGCAACTTTCCCGGGTGCTGAATCGAACAGCGTTCAGGGCACTGGATCTTTTTCTTGTCGTCCCTAGAGAGCATGCTTCTTGTGGAGTTACAGCGCATGCGGACCCGAGAAGTCTCCTGGGAAGCCATTCAATGTGAAAATTTTGAGGTTCTAGTTGATCAAGTGTGCGTATGTCCCACATTCAATCGCCTTATTTTCAAGATTTAATTCAGAATGGGAGTATTAAATCCCAATCAAAGACACAAAAAAGCATGGACCAAAATATTGTCTGAATGCACTAGGAAGCCCAGCACACGCCCGACTTCTGGAACTAGCATCGAATGTCCAGTGGCTTCACTTGCGCTAGGCTCGGAGAGCAGCTATGCGCCATGCAGCCCCCATAGTGGAGATCAGTGGTATCAACCAGATCTGGGCGCCGCGCACAAGTGACGTAGAGACGCCAGCACTGGTTGCTATGATACTGCTGCGCGGCGATCATTTTCATCGCTTGTGTCTCACTTAATTTGATTAATCTCCATTATATCGTGAATTATTTTAGATCTTTTTTTGTTTTACAGAGGATTGAACACTCTGGTGGAGGTATCATTCTCTCCTGAGCCATGACAGTCATCAAGAACTGGTCTAAGTCGTGAAAAAAAAAAGAAAAAAAGATGAAGGGCCCTGATGCTGGGACCTGATGTCAGTTTTTTTATATAATTATTTTCCTGTGTTTTGGCTAACTTTGGTCATGTTTGTGTAGATACATCAGCAGTTCTGCCTCCATTTCTCTTTTGTGCATTGTAGTGTTCTGAACCTGTACCATCGACAATTTGGTAAAGTGTTACATTGCTTGGGGGTGCCTTTAGGGTTAGCCTGCATTTTCAAGTGGGCTAGAGGGCCATGGAATAAACATTCACTGTGTAGCCCTTTCCACGTTCTGCTTATGCCTCCATTGCATACATTGTTTTTTTTTTCTGTGAACATGATCATTGTTTCTTTTACTTGTTATAACATAGTGTAGCTTGCTTCATGGTTTGGTATTGATCCACAGAAAACACAGCTGATAGCAATGTTGGTATTTCTACCTTTATACACGTCTAGCTGATGCTTAGAGCACAGAACTGATGCTGCACGCAAGCACATGAGTTGACACACTCTAAGGTCTATCCTGCTATGCTTCGGTAGGTTGTGAAAATGAATGTCAAAGCAGGCGGTGAAGTGCTGGTTAGATTGTTAATTCAATGTTTGTGTTGTTCATTTTGTATAGTTGTCATGTTTAAGGAGGCATTAAAGCTTTTTTTTTTTTTTTTTTTACATTGTCTGTCTTTCAATTGTGCACCAGTTATTGAAATGCCAAATGTTTGTCTTTCAATGGTGCACACATTGTTAATTGCTATTGAAATGCCAAAAGCTCTTCTGGTTTACTGGAATATTTTTATCTAAAGGCTCAAGCCCATACTTGCACCATTTACTGGGCACTTATGATTCTATATTTATGATTACCATAATTAACTTTGCTTGTGTTTGTTAACACTATAATGTGGTAGCTGTTAATTGCAATTTTGAGACGAGTTTGTTTCAACAGCGAACATTACCAGTCTGTCCATCAAAAGGTAAGTTAGTTTCACTATGTCTGAATGAAAGTAAATACTGAGTATAAATACTCTCAAGATTCAAAACATCAGGTTTACCTGCCCCGGCCTGTAGTGGTGCCGAAAAGTGGCATGGTAACAAGGTGCAGAGAAGTGCAGGGAGTGTTCCAGTTGTGTTTTGAGATAGGCTGCACTCGTAAATCGAATACGATGGTGTGCACCGAGTGTATTTGTTGCTGGAAATGGAGAGGTCCCCGGTTCGACACCAGGACCAGGCTGATTTTTTTTCAGTTGTGCACCAGTCCCCTAGCTGTGTTTGAGATTTGTGTTTGTACTTTGTTCCCCTTCTCCAGGGATAATTATCGTTATTCTTGTCCAGCTCACTTGCATCTTTGCATTAATTTCATTATCATCAACCTTAAAAATGTAGGCCGTTCACCCTTATTGGTGTTACACCGGTGGCAGCTGTTAAAACCCGTTTGCTCTACTGACGTCCAACTCCTGGTTAGCCCAGTTGGCAGAGCACTCCACTGGAAATGGAGAAGTCCCTGGTTTGATACCAGGACTAGTACCTAGCTTGGAAATTTGTTTTTCCTCTGCCCCCCCCCCCCCCCCCCCTTTTTTTTCTTTTTTTTTTTTTTTTGTTCTTTTTCAGGAATTATTAACGTTATTCTTGAACCTTTGCACTAATTGCATTGGCAGCAATTATGCAGTAATATTTCCCGCGGGATTTTCAAAACCTCGATGTATTTCTGATTCAAGTCTGCTTGATCTAGCGGTTTGGAGAATTTTGTGCTGCAAACATTGTTCCAGTGTAATGGCGGCGTCCACTGATGTAGGCGTTTATGACAGCCTTATCTTGTAAGAAAGTTCATTTTATTTTCTCTTTTTCTTGATTCATAACACGAACCCTTTTGTAGTGTAATGAAATCAATTACTCTAGTGTGTTTCATTTTAACGGTACTAAATTTGGTTAGTTAATTACGGCGGCAGGGTTTCCTTGCTGGGAGCAGTGCCGACATGAGCAATTTTTCGCAGCGATGCTCTTCGAAATTCTGATGGCGTGATACTTTTTTTTATATCGATGTGCCGTGGGTTTCTTTGTATTAATGATACCGATATGCTTTTTAATGATTTAATTATACGACACTTACACGGTCTTTACGAAGATCACTGCTGGGTAAAGGAAAGCATAAGCTTTCAACGCTTCGCAGTTGAGAGTTTGCGATTGTATGAAGCGCATCAGTTGGAAATTGGGAGCCTAATGTATTTTCGTGTTTCGTTTTGCGACCGAAGTTGCTGTCTTCGTCTGTATGTAGCGCTCACAAGTGGCGCCGAGAGGTAGGAGAGCTGCGTGATGTCTGCTCTGCCCGACGAGCTCCTTTTGTGAGTGCCTACGTTTGTGAGACCACTCGGCATGCACACAATCTGGGCGTTTTTGCACATCTTTCTGCAGCTTAGAGAAACTTCACCGTTCCTCTCGGTGACGTGTCGGTGGAATCGCTGCATATCAAAGAAGTTCGTGCCCTCGGCAACCCCGGGTGCATTTTTTCCTTTTTGCTCAAGGAGAGTGGGAGCGTGCCAGTGACGCGTACGCCCTTTCAGTTGAATTCAGATTTAGCGAAGAGTGCTCCGTCCATTGAAATGTGAACCATTAATTAGTGGTGCGTGTACTCTAATTGTTAGTCTTTCCTGTACGGGGTGTGTGGGTCACTAGATTCAGATTCCATTGATACTTTTCGGTGCATGAAACGTGCGTTTGAAGACGTAAAACACTTGTTTTTGTTGTTGTTTTATGTTTTAAGCTTGCACTAATAGTAGTAAAGAAGCTGTACTTGTGCAAATATTTTGTTGAAAGTCTAACACTTGAAGCTTACATGCAGAAGTGGATTTAGAGGGGGGGGGGTCCGGATGTCCTGACCCCCCTCTTGATTTCTGCATGTGTAAAATTTAGGGCGTAAAATGAAGGAGAGGGGGAGGGGGTTCCTAAACATATGGTATGCTGACCAATACCTGACCCTCCCCCCCCCCCCCCCCCCCCTCAGGAAATTCCCGCATCCGCCCCTGCTTACATGTCATGTATATCGCTGCTTGATCACGTATGGTGAAGTTGTAAAGTTGCTCACTGCTAGGTGTTCAAACACTTATATATTTTGACTAGTTAATCCAATGTATTTTGACTAGTTAATCCAGCTATTGTTTTAAATGCTATATTTATTGCATTACGAAGTTTCACGCATCTGGCTTTGCACTTGCCAGTTTAGTATGTGCACACACTTGCAGCACTCTTCGACACTCTGCTTAGCTTAACTGTTTAAAAAAAAAAATGGTAGATGCATGTGTATTATTTGCAGACTAGCACCACTGTGCACAATCTGGCACGCTTTCTGGTACATTTTGGAGGTTGTGCATTTGTATGCATAATGTTTGTATGTGCCAAACACTACAAGTTTGATTTTCTGAAATTCCTCGATCATGCATGCACTGTCTTCAACAAAACCATATTTTAAAACCGTGCTGTCATGCTTGTAGTCTTGCTGCATACTAAGATTTGGGCACAATGAATGTCTCATCTTCATATCTTGTGTTCAAACAATCTGAGTTGGTAAATGGGCCAGTCATTCATCTTAATTGTGTTACCATTCTGTGTAGAGTTGGCAGGCTGGCAGCAGAGTTAGTCTATGTGTCGGTGTGCAAGGTGGCACAACATGTCGGGTTTGGAAACACCATGGCGGCAGTGGTCGATCAGATTGAAGATGATCTTCATGTAATCTAGCTTGCCTCTAAGATTAACCATGCACGGTGAGGTTAACACTTGAACTAAAAAAAATTAAGGCAAATCTGACTGTGTGAACCTACCGCAGATATGTCTCCCACCTGTGTTGTCTGCTTTCAAAGACATGTTGCACCACCTCTTGATAGGAGCATTAAACCGGACTGTCGGCCCGACTTGGTCGGCGGCATTCGTCATTTGAAATTTCTAAAAGTTTCTTAAACGAAAAGTTAGGGAGCAAACGAGCTGGTGAAGGTTTAACATAATTTAAGACAAAACCTCGAGATTGAGGAAAAGAGGAGGGGCAACACAACACTCAAAGTCTCGAAAAAAGGCTCTAATTTTTCACAAGAACAGACTTGGGCAGGCACAAATTTTTTGGGGTCATTTTGTAGCAAGCCTTGGGATTCAAAACACCCTAGTATACGCTATCTTTTAGGCATAGGTTAGGTTAGTTACAGGTGCTCCTTATCACAAATCAGCAAGGCCAGAATGTACCTGGGTGGCAGGACTTGGCCACAACGATCACAGACTGGGTAGAAATGGTGGGTTTTCTTTTCTGGACTGCCAACCCACATTCTAAGTTTGCGATCTTCACTGGTGCCTCTCTTGTACTGTTGAAGTTAATATTTTGCAGAAACACTGTGGGAGACAGCACACAGTAGTGAATAAACAAGGTTAGTTAAAATGACTCTCTGCCGTCGCCATTCTTAAAAGGGGGCAATGCAACAATTTCCATACTTTCAGTAAATACTGCTGAGAATTCTTCCTCGACATTCATAACCTATGAAACACACATTTTTTTTTCCCTGCGATAACAGTCGCCGAAAAAGTTTGAGAAAAATGAGCAGCACTCATCCCTCAACTCGCAGCCAGAACGAGCGGCCATATGATCTGGTTTGTAGGGATCACATTGTTGGTGTTGTCAACAATGCGATCATCAAGTTCTGCGAAGGAGGGACTGAAAGGAAATGTCCTCTTTTATCCTCGAAATTATGCGGCGACGAAGAAGCTTTTTGGTCAGTGCTGTTGCGTGCGAGTATACTTGAAACCCACTAGTGCCAGTAAGCTTGTATAAAGCAAGTAACATCTCTACCCAATATCGTTGCACGACCTCTTCGAACTTTCACTCATACAATCGATGAGAGTTAAAAAGAAAAAAAAAGTGTAGCTACCTTTTTATGTTGTCACATCAAACCCAATAACATGCCCCTACCATTTGTGTACTGTGAATGAACATAATCGTATCATTTGCACAAACAGTATTCTAGAAGAACTTCTGTTTAGCTGCCTGTTGTTTTCTTATTTCTAGGTATAGCACACCTGACAAGTACATTATTGAACCTGCAAATGTTTCGGAGAAGAGCCTGATCATTGATAGGGTGTCGCGCGAGGTTACACTGTCTGGTATGTCTATTTTGAATTGTTTCTGTTATACGACTGATCTTTTATACTCATAGACTTGACTGTAATAGAGATGTCTTCAAAACTCAAGTTATGTTTTTGTTTAGTATTTATATTTCTTTAATAATATGCACTATTGTGTGCATACAAGTGTGCTTAAATGCACAGGTGTAACTTGTAAGGATAGGTCAGTCAGCTGCTCACCTTTTTTTTTAATGTTCAGTATGATCAAGTAGTGCAAGCAACCCTTGTGTCCCGTAATGTTTTTTAAAGTACCTTCCAGGCTAGGGAACAGATCGACCTAGACAGCAGTTGTGCAAAGGTCTGGTTCTGGAACCAGGAAAGCCGAAGGCAAAAGTGGTCTGACTGAGACCGAGGTCCTACTCGTACAATAATTAGAATTCACCACAACATGGCCACTTTCACTAAGGATGCCACTCTCAGAAACATGCCGACCATCACTCCTTGCCTTCTTTTTCATCCACAGCAAAGCCGGACATACCGCCACAGGCTGTGAGCAAAGTTATCTATGGCATTGTCGGAGTCATCAACCTCCTTGCAGGTAGACTTCTTGAAATATAAATTGTTTCTTCTAACAGTCGAAGTTGCTGAAAATACTCTCTGCTAAAGCCCATCTTGGTGATTTCAGGCCCCTACCTCATTGTGATCGTCGATCGCCGGAGGGTGGGCGAAATCAACGGTCAGGTGATATGGCGGATAAAAGCAACAGAGGCATACTCTTACACAAAAACGTCCTTGCACCTGACAGAAGAACAGGTGAATGAGCACTACTCAGTTAATTTTTGTGACTCTTTCATTTTGTATATGCCTAGGGTCATGGTTCCTCTTTTGCATCCCATGGTTCGTCTTTTATATGCCATGGTTGGTCTTTTGTATCTAGAAAAATCGGAGGTGGTTGTTCAGGGCTTGTTTTGATTCAGGAATTTGAATTTTGCGGATTAATTTCTTGTTGCCATCGACAAATGAAGATTATAATATCAGAGTTTTAGGAAAAATTTTAATCTGACTGCAATTTATTGGCAGTTGCTTCCTTTTTCTATTTTTCTGGATTTATTCCAAAACTGTGAGTTCTATATAACATGCCCTAATAATGTTGTGTGCAGGTGGCATAGATAGTTTACAGAGTTATGTTTTTGGCTTGTCACGCTTAATCAACTTGCAAATGTTTGTATTTTATTTCAGATTCAGTACAACAAGCAGTACACTGCAATGGTCCAGTCGGTGCTGAGCACACCAAACTTTTACTACTCAACCACATACGACCTGAGCCACACGCTTCAGCGGCTCTACAACACGACGCCAGACTTCCTCCAGATGGGGCTCATGGAGCGTGTGAGTTGCCACTGAAAGAGCATTCCCAAGAGCGGTTTTGTAGCCTTTCTGGGGGCCTAAAAGAGAGTTTAATTAGTGTATGGCTCCATTTATATGCAATCTTTGTGTTAAGGGGAAGCATAAAAGGAGTAAAGTTGAATTTTATTACCACTACAGCTTGTTATATTTTTTTTTTCTGCTTATGTAGGAGGTTGTCACACTAACTAGTGTCAAATTGCATTCGTTACAGGCAGACTACAGGTTTGTCTGGAACCACTATTTGATGAGCGAGTTTAGCAATCAAGTGGAGGTGAGAAACGTGTATACATAGTCCTGGTGTTCTTTTTTTTTTTTTACAATCATCTTACATCCGCATAACTCTGTTCAACTGTTTTATTTCCAGCTTCAGAAGTTCTGCCTGCCCATCATTCATGGCTGTATCTTTTATTTGCAGTGAAGCTTTCAGCTTCTTGTTTTTGATCTTTACTTTGAATTGAGGCAAGCAATGAGTGTAACGTCGACCTGAATACGAGAGTAATCTCAAAATTCTTTGCTCGAGCTAATTTCTTAACTGAGAGACAGGCCTGAACAAGTTCAAATGGAATGTGCCTTTAGTACCTATTTTTTACACTATCCTAGCGGCAGCAAAGCTAATTGCTGCGGCCCAAACACATAGGCTTTTTTATTTTGAGATGTGAGTGGCAGAATAGTTAGCACTGCTGTCTTCAGGTTACAGCCAACATGCTGTAACAACTCGCTGTGCTTCACTTGGTGAGGACTACATTGATTGTTGATGACATCAACGTAATCAAGTGTTCATATTCATGGCTTGTGTACTCATGTTGAAGTGAGCCACATGGTCATAATTGATCTATCGAGCAATGCGCATCCTTGACCTTCGGCTTTAGTCGTGTACATCAAGACGTGTGCTATCAACGGCCGTGGGTTCACATTTGCCCTGATTTCTCGACGGAGCTGCTATCGGGCTGGGACGCGCATGTTCATGAGGGGCCTGGACAGTGAGGGCCATGCTGCCAACTTTGTGGAGACCGAGCAGATTATCGAGGGTGACAGTGCACGCAGCTCTTTTGTCCAGGTGGGTCGCTGTTTTGTTGCAGCGTGCAGTGCGCTGTCATGTGAAAACAAACACACTGTACTGATCAGGGAATTATTTAGAACATACATGATTGGCAAGGCTGATCATATTTTTTTTATGTTGTCATATTGTCTGTTGCTTGTTTCGTAAACTACAAAATAACCCTCTAAGGTTGTGACTAGCTTGGAGCTTTGTAACCCTTTTTTCATGGGGATGTCGATTGTACAAAGGGTCCGATTCGAGACTACTACAAAACACTTTTTTATAACTAGAAGTTGGTTTTGTTTCTGTTGGTTTTGCTTCATTAAGTTTTAAAGGGAATATGCCTTAGTGACATTTGGAAAATCGGCTAGTGACAAAAATGAGATCTTGCTAATTAATTAGTCTGGAGTGATTGACTTTTAGATGTCTAGAGACTACTGTATTTTTTTGCGCAATAGTTTTGCACTATAAAAGCTGGGCTATTTGATACTTTGGACCCATGTTCGAGGGAAAAAATGCCATTACTGTCATGTCTTGTTAATATGGACCCCCATTAATATGGATACCCCGCTATATGGACACTGTTTTCAGGGACAAATGGGGAAAATGCATGCATTTTAGTCTCATTATTATGGACAACTCACATTATGGACAATTTTGCGGGGAACAGAGGTGTCCATATTAACGAGACACTGCCATACCAGTTAGCCGAAGAAACATGCTTTTCATGTAAGGCTTGTCAAAGTATTAGGTGGGAGAGAAAATCAGCTATCTGCATTAATTTTAACTTTTGTTGCTCATGTTCCGCTCGTTTAGAAGCCTGGTAAAAGGGCCCAAGGATGCACCTGATCTCGCCACACTGCTGTCATCCTTCTGCACAATAAAGTCCATTTGCTATTTGTGAAAATTAAAAACGGCGCGAAGATGGATGAGGGACGTGTAGATGTGAACAGACAGAGTGCTGTTTGTGTGCATCTACTCGTCCCTCGTCCATCTCTGTTATTAATTTTCACAAATGCAGAACCAACTCACCCAAGTTTCCACAATACTACAGTCCATTTGCTATGGCCACTGTCACGGTGACAAGCATCTGCTGAATGGACGCACATGTGAACGCAGGGTCTGAAGCCAGCAACAGCTGACTCCATTTTGAAAGTCCATCTTGCTGAAGTTACACTAAAAGCTTAAGTTTTCAGTGGAACTTTAATGGCACCCGTGCTGAACAATATTTTCTGAGGAAGGATTGACCAGGCACTCAAACCCTGCTGGGAAAAAAAACATTAGAAATATTTTTAGATATGTTGACAATTATTTGGTATTCATTGGGAGGATAGACTTCCATAAAACGCTTACCTAAGGTATTCACTGAACAAGGTCTAGGTCTTGGAGAACCATACTCAGTTTTTTATCTCCTTGTGGAAATGAAGAAAGATCATCTATGCTGGTCATACCATCCTAGAACTGCAAAGTGTTTGCTAAACTATCGGTCAGCACATTCAAAACTCATCAAGAGAGGCATACCATTTTCTTTTATGAGGTCAGCATTAACAAAATTGTGCATCCACAATGTGAACATAAGCTTTTCGTCCGAGATTCAGAGAATCGGAGACTCGGGATTTTCAGAATCAGTCAGCACTTCAGCCTGCAACAAATTAATAAAGAACTTTAAGGATGATCCAAGAACCACAAGAGGGGACCAAGTTAGAAAAAACAAAAGGTTGCTGTCATTCTGTATATCCACTGCATTTCACACGGACTGAAAAGTGTCGCATCCAGATGGAGTGAATATAGTTTTTTTCCGCCCGCAACAAACTAGGTTGAGTATGTTCTGCCACAAACAAACATGCAGGCAAATAAACCCAATCGAACTGTAGTGGGTGTAGCGTAAAACTCGGTGTGAAGTATGTATCCTGCTTAAAAGGAGCGGCCTACAAGATCCAGTTTTCCTGCGGGTGTTCATATATAGGGCAGATCGGGCAATGCATGAACATTTGACTCCGAGAACACCGCAGCTCGTCGAAAGAAACCGCATACTCGCATTTAGCTTGCATTGCCGGGATTGCAGGTTCGCAGGATTGCGAACCACATTTCGTCAATACAACAGTGTTATTCCAATGCAAGGATCGACTGTCCCTGGGAGGTAATTGAAACATACCAGATAACAAAAAAAAAAAAAAAATTGTGAGCCAGCCTTTACGATCTCTACGAACAGCTAGATGAATTTTTAAATTTGGGTTAGCATGTGAGGTGAAGAAAGAAGCGTTTGAAAATCACATTGTGCCCAGTACCTGTGCGAGCAGCAGCGGCATTTTTGTGTTTGTTCTAATAAGATTTCAGTTGCTAGTCAGCACTTGTCCTGTGTGTCTCTCTTTTTTGGTCTCGCCCCAGGTGCACTGCTTTTCACTATGAACTCTTACCAACTCGCCCAAATGTCTGTTCTAATAACTTTCAAACAGACCACATTACAAATAGTCGCCCCTCGCTCCACTTCGCTCGGAGAAAATAGATTATTATCTCGGGCCCAAGCTTGCACCAAGCCTCATCAGAATCACCGAGGTTTTGGAAAGAGTCTACTAAAGTGCAGTTAGTCAGAAAGAATATGCCAGTGGTTCGCCTTATTACTTACTGGTCGGCGACGTCAGTATAACTCAGTTGCTGTCGTCGACTGTCAACACCGTCGACATTACTCTGTTACACCACGTCGGCTTTGGCTCATTGCCATGTTGACTTTAGCTAATGGTATGCGGAAAAAGACGTCATTTGCTTGCTTTGGACTGCGTTTGCACGTGCTTCCTTTCACTGGATGCCAGAGGCGACGGAACTATTCGGGAGGGGGGTGTGTGGGATTTTGCGCCCCCTCTCTTGTATAGTTTCCATTAAATTTCTGAACTGTCTGGGGGGGTGACCGCCCCCCCTTGTTCCGATGCCACTGCTGGACGCTTTGTTGCCACTGCGACAGTGACGGTAGTGGACAGACTTAATCGTGCAGAAGGACACTGCGGTGTGATGAGATCTGGTACGAGCTTGGGCTCTTTCATCATACTTTGCTATATGCAGAAACGTAAACAAAAGGTTGAAATAATTTTCTCCCACATCTAATATTTTGACGAGTATTGCACAAAAAGCATGTTTCGAGCTCGAAATACAAACTTAGTTCTTTTTTACAGCAATATGGGGCTAAACTACCGACATGTCAAAAGCTGTGTGAAGGAATTTTATCTAGTACAACTGCCAAAGGATTTTGCTTTTTGGCGACAGTTACATTTTTTTTGTTTCTCAGAATGGTATCTTGCTTGCAGACCCGAGGATCCATTCCATTGTTCTGGTCCCAACTCCCTGACCTGCGGTACAAACCTCCCCCCACTTTGAGTAACGGGTATGACCATGTGAGTAACTTCATCTTGATGTCCATTTGTGGTGCAAGCTTTTTCTACTATTTTTGCTTCTACACATTTCTTCATTCCTGTTTACACATGTGGAATTTTAGTCATCCAACGTGACGACTAAAGTGAAACCTCTTAAATCTGCCGCACCCATAACTTGGGCTCATCTTGGGTTAGGACGGCTTTGCTGTGCATTGATGTAGCACTTGTCCCATCATAGATGCCTCTGCGATTGGGACTCCTCTTTAGTCCAGTTGCCCAAACATGCATCACATGTGTTTTGGTTGTAATTTTAAACGTTCGTTTTTGGCATCTTCGGTCAATCTTATCAATACATGCATTCTAGCAATTTCTGCTCCTTAGCAATTGAGATGTACTATTTTTGTATATCTTTGCAGCTTCAAGGGTTCCAGAAACACTTTGACAATCAAATTTTCACCTATGGGAAGCAAGTGATAATTAACTTGGTAAGATGGCCAGATATCACCCAGAAGTGGGTTTTTATTATGTCAAAGCTTATATAAAGAACTTATGCAAACTCAACATTTCAGATTGACCAGAAAGGCCCAGAGAAGTCATTGGGCAAGGCCTTGCAAGATGTTTCCACCATTGCAAACAACAGCAACATCAAGTGAGCCATTTAAGAAGCTGATGAACATTGATCACTTGCGTCTTTTGGGTGGCTTGGGCCATCGTTATAGGCTGCCGCAGGGCCGTAACCAGGGGGGGGGGTTAGGGGGTTCTGACCCCCCCCGAAATTTTTTTCTGGGTACGGCCCTGGTCGGTGCACTTGCAGCCAGCCGACTTTAATCTCCACCTCTGCGCACGCGCAGTGGCACCGGTCGGCTACCGGGTACCAAACCGAGACCGGTTCTTCGGTTTCCTATAACTCTCCATTATATGCCACCAATGCACATGATTCATAGGCGAAAATAAGACAAAATGGCCGCTGTTGTCCCCGAAAACCCCCCCCGAAATTTTTTTCTGGGTACGGCCCTGGGCTGCCGTGTATAGAGTTTGCAAAGATTCCCTCAATTTTTTTATGTCCACGATGATTAAAAATTAAAGTGGTACTTTTTTATATTTGGTTTTAGTTTTGCTACATTTCACAGCTAGATAGTGTTTGCCTGAATCTCATTACTTTAAGAGCAACGTAAATTCCTAATTGCAATGTGCTGTCAGGATGAATTTGTGTTTGCTATTCATTAACAAATTTTTGTACCTTGTTATGAGAAGTACTATTATCAAGAATTGTGAGGTTATTATTGTTATAAATACCAGTATCAAGCATTCTTTTTTTTTTGATAGGTCTGTATTAACGAGAGATAAATTGACTTAATTTTCTTTATAATGGAACAGTGTTTCTAGGGCTCAAATTTACGGCATATGCTGCTGCATCGGTGGTTATTCAAGGAGACGCTAAATATGCACCAGACAAAAGTTCAAAGCTTGCCCAGTGTGTGGCTGCCTAGGTCTGCCAGAAACAGTGTTGATCTTCTGTTGCCATTATCATACTCAGCCTAATAATGTAGCTGGCCCTTCAGTTACGATGGACCTTTTTCGAAAAACGGGTGCCGTCTGGGCGCGTCTCTGCAAACTACAAATGGAGGGCAGTCCAACACGCTTCTGCCCGTCAAAACACATCGGCATTGTGCCATTGTATTGGTTTTGATTGCTTTTATTCTGAAAAAAGGATCATCAGGAATGACTTAATACGAGCAAAGATCAGCGCTGACAATCTGGGTTGTGCAGGACGGTGCCCTTACTGGAAAAAGTCCATTTGAAAACATGCAGTGCCACATAATCATTTGATATTTCTCACAGGTTGTGTGCTGTGCGGTCAGAGGCACAGGTGTGAGAGTGTACCTTTTCGAGAGGATTTTTGTTTTGCTTTGTATGAGCACATGTGCAGAGAAAGTAAAAAGGGTTATTTGTATTTTTATTACCTCAGGCAGCTATTAGATTGCATGTTTACTTTGCAAAGCATCTGATTAGTACATGTGACTTGGTAATTTTTAATAGGTTCTGTAGGAATGAGGGCAATGCTTCTTTGTCTTTCTGGCAGATATGAGCCCTTTGACTTCCATCACGAGTGCAGGCAGATGCAGTGGGATCGGTTGTCCATACTTATGGATAGGATCCAGCATGACCAGGACTCCTTTGGGTATTTCACACTTTGAGTACAGTTGCTCTTTACAGATTACTGTAAACAACTTAATTTTTGTGAGGACCTTTTTTTAGAAAATCATTTACAATTCATGAAAATTTGATTGCACAAACACTTCAGGCAAAATGTCAACATTTTGGAACCAACATTGAGATACTCTGCTTTGTTCAGCGTAAGCATAAATGTGCAAAAAATATGCATTAAATTATGTGAAGGTTGTATCACTCATTTATTTAATATAAAATAAGTCGTAAACCGGTATGCGTGCCTACCTGAACAACTTTATTCCGCACCTTCGCTGACATCCTGCCCAAGTGTAGCTGGATCATGTTGCGTCTTGACGCTTCTGCAAGTCCTCGGTGGTAATTGCTTTAATCACACTCGTCATTTGCTAACGCAAAAGAATGCCTGTCACCTGTGGGCGACACAGTTGCAGGGCATAGGGGCCGTACAGGGGCGGATGCAGGAATTTCCTGAGGGGGGGGTCAGGTGTTGGTCAGCGTACCACATGTTTAGGAACCCCTCTCCCTTGTTTTACGCCCTAAATTTTACACATGTAAAAATCAAGAGGGGTCAGGACATCCGGACCCCCCCCTCTAAATCCGCCCTTGGCCGGAGATTGTATCTGTAATTAGCGCCACTGGTCTGAAGTAGTGGAATGAAGAAGTTGCAGGTGGCAGACTTACCTTGTACAGAAAAACACAACACATTAAAATAAAGTTTCATAACTTTTTTTTTATTTGTGACTACAGTGATGGCTGGCAGAACGCAGTCAGTTTGTTTGTACCCTAAAATACTTGTACCTTGATACAAAATCTTGCAATGAAAAGTGATTTCGGGGATTGCACTAGCGAAGCATATACGACAAAGGCAATGCAAAGGCTAATCTTTTTTGTCTTTCACGAGAATGATACTTAGGTGCTTGACCAGAAGCATGCCACCCAGCCGTAGGGGCTTGCCCTATTTTCCGTTTATCAAAATTAAGAAGTACTACCCGCAAAATATTTAGCTTGGGTCAAATTTGCGAGAGAAAAAACTTATTAATGCATTAGCATTAGTACCCACATGACAGGGAAAAGCTGACGGCGTCCGTCTGTGGACAAAACAGTTGAAAGGGAAGCGTGCCGTGCAGAGAGGAGGAGAGTTGTGAAGGACAAAGGCGAAAGGGAGGCGACATCATGGGGCAATAGCTAATGCACGCCCGGATGCTGGGGCGAGTCTGAACTTGCAAGTGTGCGGAGCGCATATGCCTTGGTTCGTGCTACAAAATGGAGTGTGGACCAAGTACTAGCGCTGGTACAAGTAGGCGTCAAAAAAAATTAAAGGAACATCCATTGGTGGATTTTTGGAGAATCCGTAAGCATGAGCCCCTTGGAAATGCCGCACACATCCTCCTTTGGGAAACGCTAACACTAACCCCGTAACGAAGCAGAAAAGAGGCAGCAGAAAATATAGGAGGCAGAAGAGAAAACCAAAACAGAAAAGGGATCAGCGTTAGCGTTTCCCAAAGGTGGACGTGTGCGGGGTTTCCCAAGGGTTATGATACAGATCCCCTAAGGATCCACCAATGGATCTCCACACTTAAACTCGCTGTCGGTTTGCATAAACTTGTGTAGCAATAAATGGGCACAAACGTGGGTTTTGTTTGGAAACCGGTTGTCTTGTTTATGCAGGTTCTTCATGATGCTGTACGACGGCTCCGTTCCTCTGGTGCAAGACGGAGTGTTTCGCACTAACTGCATTGATTGCTTGGACAGAACCAACGTGGTGCAGTCATTGCTCGCAAGGCGAAGCTTTGAACAGCAAATGCTGGTGAGAGCTCTTTCCCCTTTATTGTGATCATTCTCGGACACTATATATTCAGCGACAAATCGAGAATTCAGGAGGATTTTCACTACAAATGCACCCACTTGAAGTCTGTCTGCTGCCAAGAAAATAGTGCACGGTCTGCTCCGCGATATCAGCTCATACGGGAGCGAAGGGAGCAAAACTCGCTGCTGATAGAGCAGGACAACATTATCGCAAGCAGCAAAGGTACCCGTGGACATAATGTGGCAGAAAAGTGGACCGGAAGATCTCAATGAGATCTGGATGGGGGCAGGACACAACAGTGCTTTCTATTAACCTTGCACGCATTCATGGTAGAATGAGGCAGTCATTGCTTACCGTGTGACCGGTTCTGATGCCGCGACTTAGCAAGGGGTCCATGTTTCACGGATGAGTAAATTCTGCTTTGAAGGCATCATTTCGGTAGGCAGCCTTAATTTATTAACTCTATATACACCAACTCATGTTTACAAACAACCTGGAGCGCCCGGAGCGCCCCTAGCGGACGCCACCGGTGCCGCGCATGCTCGACGGGGGTTTGGGCAAGAAGCTCGCCGTCGCCCATCAACAAACCATTAAACTGCAATGTTGTCGGGTCGGTGTGAGTCCCCGCGCTCTTTTTGGCGTTGAAATTGTTGATTCTATGTCCTCCTAACGATGTCTGACTACTTGAGCGGCGTCAGCGAAATTACCGAGGCTCGTTACACCGCAAAACTTCGCGTGAATGATCTGACATGCGGTGATTCATTCCGCGTGGATGCCGCAGAATGTATGCTAAAGCCTGATTAACATGATGAGATTTCGCTCGCAATTTTCAGTAGCGACGTCGCTCGGACTGCAAAAGCGTGAACCGTAGCTGAGATGTCGACGTCGATACTGAAAATCGCAAGCAGAATCTAACAAAGTGAATCAGGCATAACAAGTCGGTGATAGCCACTGGTAACAATGATCAACATCTCCTTGTATGTACTGTTTTTCGTCCAGCCCGCTTACCAACCTTCAAACTTCAGTCTTTGGAGGCCTGCACTTACTTCTTATCGCAAGTACCGGGCCCACGTTTGGTCTACGGGCCGGTGTCCTCTAAAAGAGCAGACGACAAGCAGAAACGTTTGAAAGAGCAGACGACAGTTCGAACGATCAGGCGGCCGTTTGAACGTGAAGACGCACTGAACATAGTCCGCAGGTGGTCCGTACAACTTGACGGTTTTCCGGCGTTCATTTTGGAACAAAACAAATAAATGTGATGACCAGAAGTATCCGTGAATTCAACCCAAAATGTTTCCCGACCAAGCAATCGTGGTCCGACGGCGTCTGGTTTTCCCTTTTCACGGCATATATCCACGTTCTCGGACGAACCGAGCGCATAAAAACTGACCTTAAAATCTTTCTCGGCACTTTCGGTACAGCCCCAGTCGCAGCATTTTGACGAGAAGGCAGGTTTTTGTCTGGTTCCTTTCAAAACAACGCAGGAATACGCGTCTCACATGGGCACTTCCGCCCACAGCCCCGGACCGGAAGTGCGTCCGACGCGCCACCACCGTGGCGTGACGTAACAGAGATGAGTTTGTGTATAAGATGCAGACAGAGTCCAGCAAAGCGGCTTGACTTGTCCATAGCAGTGTCACTCGAGCACACCTTGCACAACGTAGTACCACTTCGATGGCGATGACCGCAGCATGTTCACATTGCCCCTCAGAAAACACTGCAAAAGAAAGCTGATACCACCCCACTATCTTGCAACATAACTTGAGGTAGGGGCTAACAAGAAACAAGCGAAGAGAAGGAAACGGCATCGGGTAAAGCACCTCAGTGGCAGCTAGGCCTAATCGCCGCAGCAATTACGCGCATATTGGACACTTCAATGGCAACACAATCGCTGTATTCTCACATTGTTGCACAGAAACTACCACGACCGAAAGCGGATATGATTCTGCGACATAAATCTCAGTAGGTAGAACACCGAAAACTCTGTAAGAAGTCGGCAGCACTCATCGCTAGCAGCGCATACTGCCGTATTGAAAAAATTTTTGTTAGGAAAGACTTCCATAGCATCACAAAAACGATTGGAAGTGATTGGCTGGCGGAGTGATATGAATCTTTTTGAAGGGTATTTTCTGCTGAATTCTTGACTTGTCACTGACCGTACATTTTCTTTTTTTGTTTACCTCGTATTTCAAAGTGCTGGCAGCTAGGTTTTCCTGCAGTACAGCAGTTCTTCTGTCAATGTTTTGGTATAATGGAGATCTCAGTGTCCATTCATCAGGTTGTATTAGCATCTAATTTTGTTGGTTTATCATCTTAGCGGACAGGAGTCCTACAGCCTGGGGAGACTATGAAGCACCATCCCACGTTTGAAACGTTGTACAAGAACGGTAGGCCAACCAAATGACATAGTGAAAACTTTGTTGCACTTTCATTTAATGCACTATATTTGCAGTGTGGGCCGACAACGGTGACTTCTGCAGCATTCAGTATGCTGGTACTGGTGCTCTCAAGACTGACTACACAAGGCAAGGCTGTCATTTGAAACCAAAATTTGTTTTTTAATTCTTTCGGTGTCACGAAGGATCCTGGCTGGTTTTCGAATTTGTACTTCACTTGTACCGTCATGAACACTGGGCACTAGCTCATACCTCTCTGGAGCTTTTCTGTTGCATGAGCACGCATGATATGCGGAATGACCCATATCGTCTGCTATGGGATATGGTCCCTGAGTAAAAGCTAGTATTGATTTCTGGATTGCAGAAATTTGTACTAATTTTTTTTTGGAAAACAGCCTACTTATGTACAGGGTGTCGCAAAAGACAATTTACAGGGTTTTTTTACCGCAAAAATAAACTAGGCATCGCCGAATGCTCATTCTCCATCCGAAGGTAGCGCTAGAGGTCACAACCAGATGCCAAAGTTTCAGCCCGATCCGATACCTAATTCAAAAGTTATGTGATTTTCTGAAAATTTCAATGGGAAAATGGAGCCCATTTTTGCCCGTTTTCGGTTTCCGGTGCCATAGAGCCCCATGTATTCGAAAACTCCGTAAACCGTCATTTTCCCATAGAAATTTACAGGAAATCACGCATAACTTTTGAATAAGGTGTCAGCGATGCCTAGTTTATTTTTGCGGTAAAAAAAAAAGTGTAAATTTTCTTTTGTGACACCCTGTACATAGCACGACACAGTGCGAACACAACAACGGCACTTTTCAGGGTGTTGGTCATAAATGGTAATGACGAAAACCAATTTGTATTGCCTATGTTAGCACCTACCACAAGCACATTTACATATAATGTTAGTTCTGATGATAGCATTACCAATTTGTGAGAGAAACCAACAGTGCAAACACAACACTGGCACTTTTTTTTTTTCCCAGCAAACTATATAGCTTGGTGTAACAGATTTTACTGCCATGAGAAATTTCCACTAATAAGTTTGACACCCATGAAAGGAAAACAGATAAATGGGATTCTGTGCATGTGCTAACTGTGGATACCTGTAAATTAAATATTGCAGTGTCTGCATGTGAGCAGACTGAGGGAACGATTCACCCAAAGCCTCGAGCTGTTTGAAAGAACCCATTCTGAGCATGTTGCCTCTAGCAGTCATGGGAAAAGGATCATGAAACAGTGCTTAGTTTCAATTTCGCATAGTGCATGTTTTGTGGCACATGATGCAGACATATTAAAATGGCGGTAATTTGTCGTAGTTGGAAGCTTGACTCTGTGGCCTTTAAAAATAAAAGCAAACTATGCTATCTCACTACCTCACGTGAAAGCAGGTCTGACTGGCCCGAGAACCCTTTAAAGATAATTTGCAGTATAGCAGAGTGAACCCAATTGGGGTAAAAGCTTGGGCTGTAAAAGGTTTTGTTTGATACTGAATGTTATGAGTAAAACATGTAAAAGCACAAATGCTGTGCTCAGGCCATCTGTGTTGCTGAATGTATAGTGAAATTCAGTTATTTGTCATGTCAGGCACATCCATTCTGAGGCAAGCTATAATCATAACTGGATTGTAACTGTATCCAGAGAGTTTCTTGTCAATGGCAGGTGAAAACGCTTGTAGGCAGGTTGTGACCAGAAGCTACTTGCAGTCATGTATTTTGTACTCACATTTAGATTCAACTTCAACTTCTTATATTTTTTATGCAAAAGCTTCTGCATGTGACAAAAAAATAATGCTAATTGATGTTGAGTACAGTCGACTCTCATTAATTCGAACTCCAGGAAGCCACAGACTTTAGTTTGAAATGTCAGAAGTTTGAATTATCAGAAATTTATCTAAATATGATGTGAGGCAAAGTAGCGATTTGCTATAGGAATAGCTACACATACCAAGATTTTTTTTACATTTTTTCCTAAGCAGGGCTCTTTATGAGCAGGCACAGACATAAAACATTGGTGAAGTTTGAGCAAATAGTAGTTTTGGCCGAATGTTTTCTAATTGAATGTCGAATAGTTTTTCCAAGCCTTTTACTACGGTTGTACCGTGCTTAAACAAAAATTCTGCTGAACTCGTGAAGGTTGTTCCCAACCTTCCACTTGTCCACTTCTAAGCTCAGTTAGTTTTAATATAACTATATCTATAAACCGTGTCCTCAGAAAGTCCAGTGCCTACTTTGGGGTGGCATGTAAATGACAGATTTGACATCAAATTAAACCTAAACAGATGCCGAGCAATTCTAATCGAGGGAATTTGTAAATCTACTTGCTATATGCAAATATTCTTTCTTTAAGGGGGGACATGGGCCTAAATATTAAATTTTTTTGAAAAAATTTATTTTTTCAATTTTAAGGTTTTTAGTTTTATAAACTTATTATACACCCTTACACCAAATTTGATAACCATACCCCAAATAGTTACGTTGATATAAAATATTTTAACACATTGTGAGGCAGTAACAAAGTAAAGGAGTTCAATGTTCAAATGCATTTTTCTCAGTTCCACTTTTTGTTGCAAAATTCATACGAAGGAATCTTTTGTTCAAAGGTAAAAATATTTGGATATCACTATCAAGATGTTTCTGAACTGAAATTTACTGGGGAATTGGGCTATTTACTTTATTTTGTTTTAAAGGCCGCCGTACAGTTCGCGCTTTCTACTTTTTTTGCGTTTCCTCCTCTCCTGCCCTCCGTTCCTTCCTTCACCGCCCTCCCCCACCTGTTTACCGCCCTCCCCCGAGGGGACAACACGGGGAATGTATTAGGAGACGCCTTCGTTAATCCGGCCGAACCCGCCGAAGAGGGGGCCTGCTGCTTGACTAAAAATTATTTCGCTGCTCAAAAAAAAAAAAAAAAAAAAAAAAAAAAAACGCCGCGGGCAGCGATTGAATGCGCTTTGCCGGATGTGCAACGCTCCGTCCGCCTTGAACAAGCTTGTATGCATTGGACTAACATTTTTCGAAGCGCGGCAGGTTTAGTGTAGGTCCTATCATATGGTCCTGCAAGACTTCCCTGTCCGCCACAAGCTAGCCAATAATTCAAGAACATAACGACGGCAGCGTATTCAAACAGTGTAAAATAAAATGTATATAATATTTATAAGAACACCGTTGTCTTCACTGCTTGGCTTTAAAATTTTTAGCGTTGCCAATAATCGTAATCAAACTATTTTTATGATTGACGACAACTCGTCGTGCATTGACCCCAAGATTACGCTTACGTGAAACATGATTCGGCGCGGGAGCGGCTCGAGTCACCGTAAACATTTTTTTTTTCAACGTGGATTTTGCTTTTTAATTTAGCTGAGCTACCACTGGCAGAACACGAATCGCATACTTGGAAGGTATATACCGTCTGAAAACTCGTATAGCTGGTTCAGTAAATACAATACTATCGCATTCGTTGAAGCTTGATTTGTTGATTCGAACTTCAACAAATCACACGCACCCATTCTGTTTATTCCTGTTTACCCAGTCATAGTCGTTCCCTCACGATGCAACACGAGTACAAGTAACTGCAGTTTATGCATTGTTGACGTTGCACAGCTGTGATCGCACGGTTTTTAGAAGCGCTATAGAACGAGCACAAGCGTCGAGATTGATTTCTGTCTCACCGCCGTGACGCCACACGAGAAAAGCGATTTCGTTCTGTCTGTGAAATTAGGAACACAGAAATCATGCTATAATCCCGGTAATAAAACAAAGCGAAATGGATCTCTGCAGCCAATACCCAATCGTTCATGAGGTGACTAGGCGAAAGCATAGATTACCTCCGTGCCTTTACCCTCTGCACACCGCCAGAGAGAGTCATACAAACTCCTTGGAGCTATTGTCAACACGATTGCGTTTACAAGCCGGTAGTTTGACTCGGCTGGGATTCGTCCCTTTCATAGCTCTCTATGGAACCAGAATTGTAGATACTTTTCTACATTGGGTGGGTTTGCACAGGGCCTCCAGTCATTTACGGCCAAAATCACACTAGAGGCGCTTCAGCAATGTTCACTCTGGTCGACACACGTGCACTCTAAAAATGCCAGTCGTCTGCCTTCCCAAAAGATACTTGAAGAGCCAATCATAAAGACCGACGGATAACGAGGCCGAAATTATGCTTATACCTCAAAAAAATTATAACACAAATTTGGCCTCATCATTCCCAAACTGGTTGCCGGACGAAATTCTCAATGCAAATTGCAAGCCAGGGTTGGTAATAGTAACATAAGATACGTACGGCAGAATTCCCTCTCATAAATAAAATGATTTGGCTAACGCCAAAGTAACGCGAAATAGGTGGAAAGAGTTTAGCAAAAGGGAGCGTAAACCGAAAAAAAAAAGGGGAAAAAAAAAGACAGAAGAAAAGGAGAAATAATAATAATAAAAAAAAAAATCTCTGGTGACGTGGCCAAAAAAAAATTCTGTTCATGTGATTTTTATTGTCAGGTGATCGAACAAAAAAAATAAACGAAATAAAAAAAGAACACGAGAAAAAAACCACCCCCTGCCCGGTTTCGAAGCTAGGCCCTCTTGATCGTGAAACTAGCGCGCTATTCGTTGCGCCTAGTTGTGCCGACATATTTTTTTTTTCTTTCTTTATTGCAAGTTGCGCCAACGTAACTCTGCCTGTAATGCTCACGCATTCTCACATCATAGGAGAAAGCTTAGGTGCCTTCGTAGTTTTTCATGTATGTGTTATTTTTATTTGTGGCAAGAGTTCACGTTCCAGAATGCTTTTAGAGTTTTGGAGCAAAACGAGTTTTCTTCATCCGAGTCACCTTCTAGAGCCAGTAGACCGCACTGGGTCGTCCGGCTAATCAAGCAGCTATTTTCAAATTCTCTGACGTGCCCGTCCTCGCATCCGAGGTCGCCGTTTGACAAGCTTATCTTCCACCTGGTAGCCGGAACCCCCACGGCAGCTATGTTCCGTCCCCACTCCCTCTCGAGAGGATGGCTCGCCCTGAGGCTAATCCCATTCTCTAGACGCCCTTTCCACCCAACGCTGGCCCTTGCCCTCCCCGTCTCCAGCTTCGGGAGAGAAGGTTCTTCCCTGCAGAACGTCCCGTTTGTACAGCGGCCTTTAAGTTGAAGTCCTCAGTGATAAAAAACTAAGTTTTAAAAAATTGACATAGGACAGATATGCATCTCATATCTTGAGGTAATAACTCTTCCTGAAATATTTACATTTAGGTTATTAAAACTAGATAGCCCGAGGTCCCATATCCCCCACTTTATATTCAAGCAGTCAAAGTGATGCTTATTAGCTTCATTTGCATATCATAGATTTCTTAAAGGGGTCATGAAACGCTTTTCCAACTTTTTCCTGTTTAGCTTTCCTCCTCAACTCCTAAATCGCGTATTCCACCAAACAGTTCAAGAAGACGAAAAGAAGGGAGGCCCCCTCTCGCTCGGAATCTGGTTTGTGCAACCGGACAGAGCCATTGTCCCCCTAGAAGATTAGCCGGTCGCTCAAAATTCAGACAAAAGTGCTTTCCCCACCCCGTTCATTCCGAAGCTGACAGTGCTGTTGAAGCTACGTGCTCGTTGGGTCAGCCACACTTGCTACGTGAGCGTGGCAAATGTGGCTGCGGAGAATGAAGTCAGGTGATGAAAGGGAGGCGGCTGATTGGTCGGGCAAGCGCGTAGCTTCCACCGCAATGTCAGCTTAGGGGTGAAGGGAATAAGTGAGGTCCGGTTGCGTGTGACGTCAGTTTGGACCCGATAACGCGCTTTTGGGACCGCGGATGTATCACAGTGAAAAGGCAGAGAGGTTGCGAAGGGGAGGAGGTACGAAATAGTCCGCTCTGTTTTCAAATTTTCGCACTGAAAGTCAGGCTTTTGACTTTCTACCTTTTTTCATTTGGTCCACTGAACGATGTGCTATTAGTAAAATTTCAATCTAAAATGATTTATCCCAACCCAAAAATTGTTTCATGGGCCCTTTAATGAAAAGTGACACATCATCTTATGCAGGTATGTAAATTTGTCCTAGGGAGCTGAAAGTTTGCACAGTACACCTACATCTGAAGCTAAATCTCTCCTGAAAATTTCATTCCAATCACTTGAGTAGTTCAAAAGTTTGACCTCTAGCCAGTGTCCCCCCTTAATCTAGAAATTAACCCCCTCAAAAAATTTAAAAAGAAAAAACAAGCTCGAATAATGAAAGCAGATTGTCAGGACAGTTGTGCTTGCATAATCGCGGTGGGTTAGCCCCATCGAGTGCGCGTCTCACAGAGCACCCGCATACTGCAGAAAAGCAATGACCGCAAGCTTCATGGGTATTGCTTTCCCACAGTACACAGGTGTCCGGTGAGAAGCGCACTCAACTGGGCTAACTCGCCGCGGTGAACAAATAGTATTGTAGCAATGCTCTTGGCTTTCCTCGCAATTTATTTACATAATTTTATAAGGAGAATTAAAGGGGCTGCATAGCTGCTGTTTTGGACCCATCGAGCTTGTTCTGGTTTTCTCGACCGGGTATGTCGTCTTCTTTGTTCTGGATGTTGTTGCAACTACAGCTACTCCCTGCCCCTTAACGAGGAGGCCTAGGAGACGAGTGATTTGTTTACCAGACTTCGTTTGAAGTGCAACCGCCGCACTGGGTCAGCGCTTATTGTGCAGAGGTAGGCAGGCTTAATTTTATCGAGGGAGATGGTGTCCTCTCGTCCGTTTATAAGCAGGGTGAAGTATTCGACGTCCCGCTGTAAAACTTTAAACGGCCCTTCATAGGGATTTTGAAGTGGTTTCTTCACGGCGTCTGCACGAAAGAAGACCTGAGTGCAGCGTGACAGTTCTGGGCTGATAGATACCTTGCGCAAGTTACGTTAACGCGCAGGCGTACGTCGTAGATTCTCAAACGATTTACGTAAGCGGCTGGCGTAATCTTCAGCGTTTGCCGTCTCGGTGAAATTGGAGGGTGTGAGGAACTCCTCAGGGATACAGAGAGGCATGCTCTACACTATCTCAGCTGTGCCGCGTCTAAGGTTGTTCTTCAATGATGTACGGATCCCGAGAATGGTAAGGGCTATGTCTCGGTCCATTGCACAGCTGTACCTTTGGTTTTCAAAGACGCCTTAAGCTGTCTGTGGAACCATTCCACCATTCCGTTGGAGATGGGGTGGTACGATGTCGTCCGGATGTGTTTCGTACCGAGGAGACGCAAAAGGTTTTGAAAGAGTGTAGGCTCAAATTGCCTTCCTCGGCCCGTTGTGATGGTCATTGGTACATCGAAACGACTAACCCACATGTTGACGGAGGTTCGAGCTACTGTTTCTGCAGTTATAGACTAGTATGGTGTTCTTGCTTGAATTTCCTTGCAAGAGGTTATGCAAAGGCTGGAGGATGGTAGCACACTCAGGACAAGAATGCCTGGAAAAGTTTACGAGCCCCAGAAAGTTGCAGAGCTTCCTTGTTTGAGGTTGTGGGAACTCACGAATGGCTTCCACTTGTTGTGGTAGAGGAAGTATGCCCTGACCGTCGACGCGGTGACCCAGGAAGTCCAGGCCTTCAACGCCGAAGGTGCATTTTGTGGGGTTCACGACCAATCCATTGTCTCCGAGGCTCATGCCTCCGAGACTATGGATCCACTGAGTTTTGTGGGGTTCACTTTGTCTACGAAGAGCTGAGGCAGGTGTTCTGCATGGTCTTCGTGGTTCTTGCTGAAGACTAGGATGACCATGCAGAACACCTGAATCAGCTGTTTGAATTAAGCAACTTATAAATGCATTAAAAAAAAAAAAAAAGCTGGACAACCAAAATGTTTTAGTTTGTTTTAATTAACTGGAAGTATAAAATATCCGAGTTTGAATTATCGTGAGTTCTCTGTATTATTTTGCTTCAAGCACAAAAGCTGTTATTTGATTGTTCCGTCGAAGAGCTGCTGTCATAACGTTTGGTACAAATTGCATTCCAGAACGGGAAAGCGCACTGTGCTCGGTGCGATGAAGGATGGCTACAACTCCGGTATACGCTACCTCAAGAATAACTTCTATGATGGCTTCAGGCAGGTCAGTGGTCTTCAACAGTTTTAACCGCTTAACCCTCTCTTTGACAGTCAAGCTTTTTTTCCCCCAAAAGAAGTTTCCCAGTGGTCAGGTTCTGTTTCCAAGGGAATAGTATGAAAAGTCAATGAACAGGTTTTTCTTTTTTTTTTATTAACTATCTAGCGGGAGCACGTACAGTGCTTGAAAGCAGTTTAGGTTTAGAAGCATTAAATGAAAATATTGAAGGCAAAAAGTTGTCCCTTTTCTTCTATTCGGTATCATTTTGGCACGTCCACTTCCGGAACATTCCAGAGGCTTTAGATTCCTAACCTGAGGTACTTTACAAAGCTTCTCCGTTGGATGATGAGTTCTCATCTTCTGAATTTAATTTCTCAAAGCGTTAGAAGTCTGCATTGAAAGAGCCAGTGCTCATATTGGCATTACCGCCAGAGCGGCTGGTATGCGAAGTGAGCATCACGTGCACGGACCGTCTAATTTCAAAACTATATATAGCTCAGCAAAGCAAAACACTGTGCGAGCATAATGTTTATAGTTCGCCAAAGGCATAACAAATAGCAACACCACCCGCGGTGCACGCCGTATCATGTTTAGGCGGGCACATTTTGACGCACATCACTTTTTTTTGGACGGAGGGAGCACGCTGTGGAACGTGTGCCAATTTTTGATGGAGGTTATGGGTGCTGCCATCTTTCGAACACGGTACCAAGCACGTTTAGGATTATTTTCTTTTGCTGGCTGGCGAAAAAATTTAATTGCTTTGTTAGGAAATATGTTTTCTCATTCCCGTTCTGAATCCTGGAGACTCGGAAGCGCCACAAAGCTTTGACAGACGCAGAAATTGCGGCATTGCCTCAGCGAAAAGGCGACAAATTTTTGGAAATGAGTATACATGCTGAGTGATTTTGTTAGAGCATGAAATATGCTCACAAATATTTACAAGTGAAGCCTGGCAATATATTTTTTTCCTAAATTAATTTATAAAACACCTGTCTTCATGACCTACTGTACAAAGTCAAACATGTAAAAATAAAGTGTTTCCCCTTCTCTGTACTTTAGCACAAAAAGATGCTATATGTTATTCCTCTACATTAAATAAGCCAATTAAAAATTGTTTACACAAAAATAATTCTTTAGATTTGCACAAAAAAAAAATCTTCCCACTTAAAGGGATGGTGAACCGAAATTCGGATTTAAAAAAAACAATGCTGGGAGACGTAGGCGGGACGCTACAATCCCTACAACACTCTACTAGTAAGGCGGTATCTCAAATGGACGGCCGTATTTTTGGAAAAAGAAGTCGAGGTTGAACCAGGCCGACGAGGCGCGTGACTGTCAAGATACCTAGTTTCCTCCTTTTTTCGCTTCGCTCCATCAAGGCGGCGACGCGGAGAAGACGCGAGGCTGCTCCCTTTCCTTCTCGGAAAAACATGACGTCAACATTTCTGCCAAATGCGCCTCTTTTTTTTAAAAAAATACGGTCATCTGTTCAAGATATCGCTGTATGAGTGATGTTTTGGTGTTTGTAGCATCCCGTTGCACGCTTTTGCCACATGTTTTGGGGAATTCAGATTTCGGTTCAGCATCCCTTTAAAGGGCAACTTGGGTCAATTCCAAGAAATTTGAGTTAATGGCTGATTATGTATCCTGTGGTAGTAATCATAGAGTTATTATAATGTGCGCTAGGGGCTTAACTGGCGCTAGTGTCTATGCGACTTCCGTGATGCACCGCACTACCGTGGCCGCAGCTTGTGTTTTAGTGCAGAAAAAGGCTAGTTTTCCCAAGGGCTTGCTTTAAAAACAGTAGAAAGTGAAGTTCATGAAACCACACATAAATATGTCGCGATGGCTTTGACAAAGTATGGTGTGCTCAATGTCGCAAACTGGCTCTCTCGCACGCGACGGGCACTGCTTGTGACGAGGCATGCTCGCATGAGACCGCCCAAGGGCATGAGCCTTCCGCAGATCACATGTTCAATGATGAGTGCGCTGCTAGCGCTGCCTGTAGGTTTTGCTTGAAAAAGTACAATACAAGGAAACAAATCTCCCCGAGTGCCCCGAGCATGACGTAGGTAGCGAAGGGTGGGCTGCTCCGACAAGGTGGTATTGACTGCGGTGTTGGCTATGCCGCGCCTCGCCGGCTAGGATTAGCAGATTTTGATAATTTCGCGCACCTCAAACTTTGTTTGCCAGTTTCATCAACTTTTAGGCGGAATTTGGCGTGTGGTCTTTTTAGGCGATACTAAAGGGAATTGCATTGTTTTTTCAATATTTAAAATGAACCAAGTTGCCCTTTAAGGGTTAAGTAGCAGCAATTTCCACTCTCCATCGGCGGTCAAGTTTACTGGGAATAGGGTGTGTGATGAAATCTGCTGGCCTGTGCAGGATGCCATCGACCTCTTCCTCGGGAACTACAGAGTGCAAGACGGGGAAGGTGCATCTACTCCTTGTCCTCTAACCGTTCGTCGGGACCTCAAGTACTTAGCGGTGAGCTTGCAGCGTGTTGCATACTCAGTCTGTGTTTTTCCTTAAAGTATTGCATAGTGGTACAAACGCTTCTATAACGAATTCCGCAAGACGAGCAAAGTTTTTCGTACTGTAGGTAACTTCATTGTACTGTGCAATCCACTTATAACGATAATGAGAACTCGAAAATTCAATCGTTATAACCGGTTATCATTGTATCTGGACTAAAAAAGCGTTTCTAGTCTAGACACTGATCATTATAAGCAGTACACACAGTTATATCTGGCATCGTTATAAGTGGACTGCACTGTAGTAGTTGAGCGCGAAAAATCAATTGTGTGAAACTAAATTTGTGCTATCACATATTTATTGACGTACTTGTGCGACATACGAGGTGTCTTAGGAAAAAGTGTAGTGCTAAATATACCGGGGTATCTGAAATACCGGGGCTCAATCTAAAATGGGCCGAAAAATCGGCGCCTGCGCGTAACAATCTAAACCTAGCAAAATTACAAGGCATAGCTTTCTTTCTGTAAAATATAGAGCCAAAAAACATACCATGGTCAACGGCGACGCAGACGATTGAGTCGAGTGGCGGGTGCGTTTGGCGCTTGTATTCATAAGTGGCGCTACCTCCTTGTCCCAGCTTGCCTTTAAAAAATAATGAGACTGCCTGCGTCCACCATGGTCAAATAAAATGAACATGTAATCTTTTTGTAATGTACCTTTGGTTTAAGAATAAATGCGGACAATAATAGCAAGACTTAGAAGTAACAAAAGTAAAAGAAAACACGGTTGCATAACGACGGCGCTCTTGCTGCCGACGGATTTCGTCTGCATGTCGTCTGCTTTTTTTTCGCTGGTCGGATACACCTTCCGACGCTGCTCCTGAGACTTTTTTTTGTCACAGTTGGTGGGAAAACTGTCACAGTGCGTAAAGATTGTGTTCATTTTAGTACACCACAGTCGTCACGGGCAGTCTCAATGTTTTTTTAAAAGCAGGGCTGAACATGGAGGTAGCGCCACTTGCCTATACGTGCACCAAACGCGCCCAGCCGCCCGACTCTGTCGTCTGTATTACTGTTTGCCGTTGACCTTGGCAAGTTTTTTGGCCCTATTTTTTTTACAGAAAAGGAGCTACACCTTGTAATTTCACTAGGTAAAATCCACCTGCGAAATATACTTTTGACGAAAGGTTCAGATTGCTACGTGGAGACGCCGATTTTTGCGGCCCATTTTAGATCGAGCCTCAGCATTTCAGACACCCTATAGTACGAGCGACATCAGAAATCAGGTTTTGCACGTTGACAATTGACTTATCAAAAGCGGGAACGGTGGTTCCCTTTTGTTACGTCTGTGTCGCCATTCGCAGCTGGGAGCACGTGATCCGAAAACTCATGCTGCAGAGTCCAGGCATCTTGAACCCAATTACCCCTTCTTATTTTCTTTTTTTTTTTTTTCTAAATGAAAATTGTATAGGCACACGTTTGTGTACTCACCACTGCCTGACGCAATATAAAGACACCAGCCTAGAAGTCATACCACCACTGGCAAAGTTTGTCATCTACAGCTGGGACACCCGTTGCTCCTTGCTGCAGACTAATTTCCCGCTGTCCGAACTTCCACACAACAAACTTAACTGGCTTATCAAAATGTGAATCGCAATGATCACTAAACCACCGACATCGACCCCCGATCACGCAACAAATAAGAGGCGCGACAGCTGCAGCACGCGGCGGAGCGAGGATGGGGAGAGGCGCGCAACCGGGCTGGCCGTGCTCTTTTTCACATCTGTCTGCTCAAAGAGATGGGCGCATTTTTCTGTGCAGTTCTACTGATTTCGCTTGGATTTTGGCGTCACGGGTAAACTCGGAGATCATGTTTCCTTGACCGCATATCATCGCTTCAAGGCGGAACAATATGGGAGTCAGATTGAGCAAGATTGGGAATATTGGATCCTGACGAGGATCGGTGTGCCTGTCGAACAAATGCCAAGACAGCATAAAAAAGTTGCGACTGCCCACGAAAATATTTTTTTTTTTTAAATACTGTAAACGACTTCATTTTTGCGACTTTTGCGAACCGCCTAAAATTCGCAAAAAATAGGTGCCTTAAACAATTCTGGTAAAATGTAAATACATTAAAATATATATTGAGATCCCACCGCGTTGCAAAAATTGGAACCCGCGAATAATTCCAAAACTTCAACTTTGTTCTAAATCGCGAAATATTGAGCCCGCGAAAAATAAGTTGTTTACAGTATATACTCTTGTTTGTGCGGGTCATATCAAACGTGCTGACGTACATGCAAAATAAAAAAAAAAAAAACTTTTTAAAAAAAATTATGCTTGGACGGAGCGTTAAAAAAAAACACATCTTGGACTCGATGAACGGCGTGAGCGAAACAAAAATATGTATGAGCGCACGCCGCGCTGCTTCTGCTGCCGCCGTGCCGTGCATTCTCGGTTTTGGGTCCAAATAACTCGTTAGTGTGCAACCTCGTGTCTAGATGACGCTATGTGACTATGTTGATGCATGCAGGCTTTCTACGCAGCAACATAGTCACGTAGCACCATTGAGACACAAGGTTGCACACTAACAAATTATTTAAACCCACAACCGAGAACACGCGGCACGGCAACAGCGGTTTTAACCGTCGCCGCTGCCACATTATTTTTGTTTTCTGCGCGCATCACTTGAGAGCGACAATTTATATAAAATCAATTACTACTTTCAACCTAAAAACCTCTGAATACTGGTCAATTTGTTAAACAGGAATTCATTGTTGTAATCAGAAACACACATTGGACACATAGGAGATTGGCCGGGACTTTATTTTACTCCGTTAAACGGGTGTTTTCTTAGTAGAGGCGTTCGTTATAAAGGTGTTTGACTGTACCTACAAGCATAGGCGTAGACTACGGGGGGGCATCGGGGCTCTTGCCCCTCCTGGTGAGATCCGGGGGTGGGTAGAGCCCCCCTGGGCCCGGGCCATGATCGTTACCGAGACGCTGTTTAGGTGCCATGTAACGAGTTTCTAGTAGTGGCATGTAAACAAAATAATGCCCACGTTGCCTTTATTGATGCAATACATGAAAAATGGAATCCCAGCGTGCTTTTGAAAAAGGGGGGGGGGTGCTTTTCCACTTGCACGGAAAAGCACCCCCCCCCCCCCCCCTCGAGAAAATAGAAAGTCTACGCCACTGCATACAAGCCTCCTGCCCTTATGGTTGGCATCCCCAATAAAATGTGATTCAGATTGAGCACTCCTGCAGTGCACTAGACATTGGTTGCCTATTTCTATTGAACTTTTTTTCCATGTGTTACTCAGACGTATGGCCTTTTTGAACTGATCTTCATTACGATTATTATGAGCGATGTTGGAAACAAAGATTAGCCATTTTATTCTTCAGTTACTTCCTCTAAAAGGAGAAGGAAAGAAAGGTAATTTTGCCAGTGTTGACGTGTACTTTGTCCTCTTTACAGCTGCCAAGCTTTTTGCTTTTGGCAATTGCGTGCTGCTTTATGTGCTTGCTCATTCCGTCAGGTAAGATCATCTTTAAAAGTTCAGTTGGTGATTCAAGTTGCTGCTTTCTTGTAGATTTCTCAGATTGAATGCTGTTCTGTTTTTTTTGTTTTTTTTTTTTATCTTTTCAGTCTACAGCATGGAGACCTTCATGTACTTCCTGTTTTGGTTCATGATGATTGTACTCACCCTGTTCGCTATTGTGCTCAATGGGACCGAATTTGTGGACTTCCCTAAGTTGCGGGACCTCAGGCCTAGGAGGAGGCAGGACTAGCCAGCATTCAGTTCTCGTGGGAGCATGTTCCCAGGTTTTTGTCTTTCTCCTTTAGTTTGAATCCATCAGTTGTACTGCACTTTTAACCTTGTGAGTAAAGCTGCTGTGGGATGCACTTCTAAATGGCATGAATTGCATATAAGGATAGGAAAATATGCAAATCTTTCTATACTAACTGCTGTTAATTGTTCCTTAGTCTTTATGAGTCCAGTACTCTCGTTGAAATCTGCTGCTAGTGTGCTTAACGAAAAATAAAATATGTCTAACAGTACCTCTGAAGCATGTGTTTTAATCTTAACAAAAGAACAAATCTAGAACATTTTCATTTTTGTACAGAGTACTGAAGTTGCAACTGGAAATCATAAATAACAGCATCTTATCTACAAGAACCACTTGAAACATTTTTGTACATCTCAAATGTTATAAACCATCTTTTCTGAGATTGCAACACTGCCTGGGAATGTTAACACTCGGGTAGCAAGAGATGGTACCCTAACTATCCAGTTATCGTGGTTGCAAGCCATCTTCATCTTCGATAAGAGAAACTTTTTAAACCATGATGTGTAATACCAGGAAGGTGAACGTACTTTTGGGTTAACAAGTATTGAAAGGTGCGTGGTTTGTGTCTAGGAAATATGTCATGTAAAATCTATTATAATTTTATAAAGCATACAAGAAAAAAAAATTCATTTGTAGTTAGGGTTCCCAATCGTCCCGGGTATGTGGGACTGTCCCTAGTTTTCACGCAAACTCCCAAGTCTCGACATGTCCTAGTGGGGACAGCGTTATATCCCGTATTGGCGAAATTGGGGCCCAGTTAAATATTTTTTTGTGACTTGCGCACGGTATACACACACTTAGAACAGGTCAAGAAACTGGAGAGAATGACGTCGGCGAGGCAGGCTGACTGCGGGGAGCTTTAGCCATTAGCCACCCTAGCATGCAAGTCATGGCAAGCCAGTTTGAGTGCACCATCCCATGGCGATTCTGGGTTATTGCATGTCTTGCACTAAAGCTAACAATGCCGCAGCCCCCCCTTCCTTCCCCTTCCCCAGAGGGAGAGTGTCTGTTATCATAATCAACATTTTAGGACAGGTCAATGCAATGTTAGCCCGACGTTACTTCCCCCCTCCCCCCGTCCCGACTTCCTTCATTCAAGAGTTGGTAAGGCCCCATTTGTAGTTCCCAGCTTTCATCATTTTTATAAACCCAATACTGTGATTGTCAATGGACGTCAGAGGCAAACATGCAACTACTCGGTTTCACTTTTTTTTTGTCCCATAAGCTTGTATGATTGTAATACAAAATATAAACCTTGGGAGCACCTGAAATTTTAGCTCAAATTATAAATAGCACAGCATTTTTTTTTTTTTAATTTTGCTGAACACGTGTTTTTTTCACAATAAATAACGTTCTTGCAGGAAAGTCTGTACTGCACCTTCCAGTGACTTTAGAGATTTACTTATTAAATATTTACTATATACATCTGGATAGCATGTTTCACACAGATTCGAAATATCCAATCGTATATTCACTATGTTTAACACAACGGAACTGTGGGGTATTGATCCGATTTCACTAAGATAGAGGGTTTCTTTTTATGCTTAACAAATTTGTTTAAAAAAAAGGGGGAAGCTACATTCATACGGTTTGTGCAGGTGAGTAATACGGCCAGGTGGACATAGTATGATCATAACGATCGGTCGGCTAATGAGCTCAAATATGTCAATGTTTTAATTATTGAAAATAAACATGATTCTAATTAAAAGGCTCGAGGTACACCTAAGCATTTTTTGTGAGTTCTGAATTGCGAGAGCATGCAAGCCGCTCGTCCGCTCCCTTTGTCGTCTGCTATGTACTAGCGCGCATGCGCTTTGGGATCTCGTAGGCCATGGCTCAGCGGCCAATGGGAGCCCCGTCGACGCGCACCAGCCAATGGAACCGAAGGCGAAATCGCGGAAACTAGGAGTCGTTTTCACGCTTCAAACTGATGACGTCAGCTCGCTCCATGAGACAGTTAATGCTTTCGCATTAAAACTTGCTGAGCATCATCGAAAACCACTGAATCAGTGGTTTTCGATGAGGCTTGGAGCACATGGGAAGCACGCTGGAGCGCTAAAGTGGCCACTCGTGCAGCAGGAGTAAGGCTGCCGGCGCGAGAATGCGCCCGCACAGTTTTCCCGTCTCTCATTAACTGCGTTTTCTCACCCCAGCCTTCGTGCCTGTTGCACAACTGCTAAATTTTGCGGACTACTGCGCTTCCCACAGGCTGGGTCTTTGTAAAAATGTGTGAGTTAGTGGTTTTTGATGATGCTCAGCAAGTTTCTAATTGGAACCATATGTCTGCTTTTGCTAATTAAGTTCATTAACAAAATCTAGTTAATTATTCGACTTCTCGTGAAGATTAGTCCTCTATAATATGTCCCCCCTGGCCGTATAACACACCTCCATAAACCGCACTAGTGTAGCTTTCACGGCTTTGTTATAAACAAATCTGTTAAGCTTAAAGAAAAACTTGCTGTATTTCTTACACGCTCTTAAAGTAAATATCTTGGTAAAATATGAGAACTTGCAACAGGACTGTTCACGGGCTATTTTACATCAGTTCTGAGATGTTATGTCGAGTAAATTAAATTTGTGATCATAGCTTAGAAGAAACAAAAAGGAAATTTACAAAACAAGCATCACTGCACAGCTCCATTCTTCCTAATTAAAAGGGTACCAAAGTTAATATTTCCCAAGGCACTTCAGAAAACACCCATAAGACATTGACACTTGAAAAATAAGTATGAACACAGAGGAAGGCACTTGAATTTAGGACTGTTCAAGAGTTTTATATTTACCGATTACATAAAGTGAAAATAATTTTCAGAGGAATAGCTTAATCTATCCAAACGTCAAAAAAGAAAAAACAATTTAGAAACTTTTTTTTTTTTTAACATTTAAATTGGCCAGATTTGAGCTTTGTGTCTTGGAGTTTTGTTGACCCCGGATACCATCTGATAAGCGTGGTGTTTGGCCTTGAGAATGGAACAAACGAAAGCTAGCACTTGACAGTATGAAATATCTTGGTTGAAATATCATAAACAAGCTACTCACTTTTTTTTTTTTTTACATATCTGTATAAACTTGTGTTTTCCCCTTTTATACAGATACACTTTTTTTTTTTGCTAGTCAAACTGCTCGACTTTAAAAAACCTTTTTTGCTGGACATGTTTGAGATGAGGTTTCCCAAACACTTTGTAGGCCTTTCTAAACTAATAAGCTGCGAAGCCAGGTGGCATGTTAGCCAGAAATGTCGACCTGCACCATGCTGCTGCCATCTCGTACCATCGATAGCATTCAGCTGGTGATGTTTGCTGGGTTTACGACGAGTAACTCCGAAACAGCGAAGAAAGTGAAGCAAATCACCGTGCACTATAACAAGCAACCTTAGTGTTTTATCATGCACATTTGTGTTCACCTTGGGGCACTCTTGCTATCTCGTCCTGAACAAAGTCAATAGTAACGTCGCAAGACTCAGCGTTGTGACGACGGCCACTGGTTGCGGTCCATGACGTGTCCCTGTCCCGCAACCGTACCAGCAGTTGGCCTTGTAGATGTCCCCGAGAAGGGTCCGTAGATGCTTCATCAGCATCTTGACGACATAATCCACTTCGTGTAGGCAGCCTGCACTGGTCACTGCAGTGTGGAGGCACGCCTCCAGTCTTCCCGTTGCGCTGCTAGCACAAAAGAGCGGCGACAGTTTCAATGTGAATTCTTTAAGGGGGGTCATTAAGTGTTCCTTTTTTTTTAGAGCGCAGCTCTTAGGCGCCCGTTTCCGCGTTTCGCGGCGTCGCCGTCGGTGTAATCGTCCCATTCAATTTAGCGGGAAGTTGAATTGGTGTTGAGGTCACGTGACATCAATTTTCCCACTAAATCTAGCGGAAAAACTGAATTTGTTTATGGGTGACGTGACACGAAGTCATGTGACGTCATTTTCCCCGCTAAATTTAAAGGGGAAACTGAATCGGTGTTGATGTCACTTGACGTCAATTTCCCCACTAAATTTAGCGGGGAAATTTTCGGTAAATTTAGAGGAAAATTTAGCAGGGAAATTTAACAGGAGGAGGAGGGGAGGGTACAGAGGAGGAAGAGGGGCATACCCTCCCATCCATACCCTCCCCTCTTCCTCAAGAGCTGCACTCTAGTTTCGCATTTCAGAGATTTGTAAACGTCCTTCTCTTTTTTTTTTTTTTTGCACTGAATACTGCCCATAATGAATTACTTTGATAACCTATGAAGCGCAGCTTAGTTTTTTTGTTTTTTTTTTCATGCGCCAGTTGCGGAAACAATTTGAGGAAAACAAACGACGTTCACCATCAACGCGTAGACGCAGAACATGCGATCACGTTTGGTGCCAATGGACCATTTTAGAAAGTCGCCGGTTCAGCAGGTTCTGGTATGGAAATACGTGAACAATGCGCGGGAAGGAGCAAACTTGGGGCGAAAAAATAAGCCACAATAGGGACACATGAGACTTGGCTCCCTTGGAATGCCCTGACGTAACAAAATGGCACTGCCCTGGGGGCACGTAGTGGAATAGTTCTAGGACAACTAGTCACACCGGCCTTCTGGATCTAGGTCATTTCGTCATAAGAACACTCGTCAGAAGAGGCCATTCGTCATCGGAACACTGGTCGCAAAACCGTCAGTGTTTTCATGGGAACAGGGTCGATCTCTTTACACAAAAGAACCGCAACGCACAAAATGAATCCTGCCGCTTTTTTTTTTTTTTTTTTTTTTTTTTTTTTGTTAGCAAACGAAATTATGATATTGTTTAGAAATACGCTTCGGACATTCATATTTTGTAAGACTACATTCAAGAGCGTCGAAACTATAGTCCGTTGCAACTCAAGCAGGTAGGGCGAGGGTAAGACGGGCCGAGGTGGAAGTAGAGGGAACGCTAAAGAGAGGAGGTTTCCCCCTCTCTTCTCCAGCGTTCCTTCTGCTTCCTCATCCCCGGCCCGCCTTACCCTCGCCCTACCTTCTTGAGTTGCAACGGACTATAACGAACACTCAGCTCTTGGAACTTCAATGCTGTTGTACCAGGAATTCGCGTGCCAGTTTACCAAAACTTTTCGCACACAGGTAGCAGAAAATGCAGTTCTGTCATTTATTGGGTATGTTGGAATAAGAACTACTCATGAGACCGTTAGTATCGTGGCCCTTAATAACACCCGTACTTATCTCGGGAATACAACCGATGACTCTGCTGAGATACGTCCGAGCAGAAAAAAAAAAAAAATATCCAATAAGATTTTTTTTTTTTTTTCCTTTAAGCTGGAGAGCGAAAGTGTGCCCAATTCCGTTACTTGTAGTTTTTCCATGCGTTTTCTCGGCAATTTTTCGCGCTGTTTCTTTCAGCTAAGGAGAACACAGCGATCTTCCGCATCGAATTCTCCTAAATCTCGAATGTTTCTTGATATAAATGTCCATTTATCCATTTGAGACATTTGTATGGTCTTCATAAGTTCAATAATGACAGATCTTTCGTTTCATGATTTACTAGCCTTTGAATATGTCATACGTGGTCATACCTAACACAATCAGAATGTGACATGCCAGTTTTGAAAACACTTATGACACTCATTTGAAGGAAAAAAATAATAATAACCACACGCTGTTCAGCGTGCTATGAAAGTCGGAGGCGTAAGCGGGCAACTTCGCTTGTTGCTCGAGGGCTTATGCGAAGGGTTCTAACTTTTTTGTCAAAGCTCCACGCCTAACTGTGGTTTCTGTTTCACAGTATTGGCGACGTGCGCGATCGAAAGCGTCGCTGTGGACGGCTTTCCGCAATTGGCCGAATGCTGACTATGACGTCGGCAAAGGACTTCTCATCGGCAGAAATAAGAAGGATGCAAGAACTCCAATTTCGACGGTGTTTGCAGTGTTGGTTTCAGAGCGCTATGATCTCAAGCTTCCACCGTGCTCAATGCAAACACCGTCGAACTTGTTGTTCGCAAGGTAATGACGTCACGAAAGGTAACCATACGAGGGCGCCACCAAAACATCTCGCCGCTAATATACTAAATTAATGAATTATGACGAGTATATGTATATATTATCTGCTTTATTTTAAGCCGATCTAAGATTTCAGGGAATGTATGTCATTATAATTATTTCGCTTGTAAGTCAAATTGTGGATCTAGCAGTGGCGGATCCGGGGGGGGGGGGGGCAAAGGGGGGGGCCACCCCCCCCCCCCCCCCCAACAAAGTCGACCCCCCCCCTCCCCCCCTTCTCGGAGGGCGATTTGACATGGGTGGACCCCCCTTGCACAAGAGAGAATGGGAGAATAGTATCCTTAAAAACTTTCCGCCCCCCCCCCTAAAACAGAGTTCTGGATCCGACCCTGGGATCTAGTTGTTTTATATATTGACTGTTCCTATGACGAAACCCAATTAAAAAAATGCTGGTCGTGTTGTATAAAAAAAAATTAAGCTGTAATACGAGTGTTCCGTGTGACAAGTATTCCGGCATGACAATAGCTTCTTGTACGAAAAACCTTATGTGACGAGATGGCGTACCGGACGAGTTCACCTATGACGAGTTCTCCTAGACCCATGGTCTATACAGGGTGGTTTTTTTTGTGTTTTTTTTTTTTTTTTTTTTTTTTTAGCTGCATTAAATTTTCAAAAAAAAAAAGGGAACGTGAGATAAAGTAATTTGAGCCCTGGGGAAGTGTTAGTGGCCATGGCGGCCTCTAGAAAAAAGGTGAAATTAGGTAATTAGTTAGCTAATTAACTAAAATGTTTTAACTGACTTTTTAATTTTTCACTTGAGGGCACATAATGTATTTAGAGGATTGAAGATCTGCCACAGTATGGTCTAGCTGTGTCGTCCAATTTGGATTAAAAAAATGAGTAAAGCTATACGCACTCCGGAGTGCATGCCGCTCGGGCCACCCTTTTCGAACGGCGCGTGTATCACTGGGGGACTCGTTAACACAGCCCCCCGCCTGCGTTCACGCCGCTTCGCGGCGACAGTATCGGCTGCTAATTACAAAACTTAACCAGTACACGCCGCTTCGCGGCGTCCAGCCCCCCGCCTGTTAACACAGCCCCCCGCCTGCGTTCACGCCGCTTCGCGGCGACAGTATTGGCTGCTAATTACAAAACTTAACCAGTACACGCCGCTTCGCGGCGTCAGCCGGCAACCCAAGCCCCGCTTTCCCCGATCGCACCTCCGGAAAGGGAGACCCATACCATTTAGTTCTGCGAAGTTTCGTCGACAACATCATCGCAAAAAAGAAATGTAAATATCGCCAATGCCTCGACAAAACAAAATGTTTGAGAAAAAAAGAAAGAAAAAAAGTAGGCCCACCGCGGATCACTTGCGTACAAAGCGGACACCTTAACACCTTACTCGAGGCGTCCTTCTTTTATTCTCTACAGTTTTAATAAGCGAGACAAGCGAAGTCCAAGCGAGATCAAGGAGTGTAAACTTTCATGAGTGCCCTTAACAACCACAAAAAAAGAAGAAAAAAATATCTGGAAATATATTTTTATTGCAGCAAGCTACAACACATAAATTTATTGTATGTAGCAAAAAAATTGTTTTTTTTTTCTAAAAAAAAAAAGAAAAGATATCAGCAGCAGGGTGAAGCGAAAAACGCCAGTCAACTGACGCTTCGCAACCGCCACTTCGACCAGAACTCTTGTACCAAGCAAATGGTTCAACACGTTTTTGTACTTTCTTTTTGCTTGGCCTAAGAAGAGTTTTACACCAGAGCTTAAAAAAAAAAAAAAAGAAAATCGAGGCCGGTTTTTTTTTTTAATATGGGTATTTTTTTTTTTAAATGTGTCTTCAGAATATTTTTTTATGTTGATAATTTTATTGGAAGTTCATTTTTCAGGAATAATTTAGATGCCCTGGCCTATATTATATGTAGTTTTCAAACTTGTTAATGCCATACATAATGAGGTAGAAGGCCTGAAAGTTGGTGTATTTGTGCACCTGGTCTAAGGTTATGATTTTTTTTTTAAATTTTAATTCATAAAGCTTATAATAATTGCATGCAGTTGACTTTAACTTTTGTGTGTCACATGAAATATTTTTGGCGTACTACTCTTTGCCTGCCTTCCGCAGGACCGCAAAGTTGGCAACTAATGCAGTTTGCGGTGGGAGCCATAGAGATCATTAGGGGTGTCGCGAACCGGCCGCGGTTCGAGTTCGACCAGGTTCGACTTTTTCGAACTTTTAGTGGAAAGTTCGTCGAACCTTGTATTGAGGTTCGACTCGTGTGCGCATGCGCGACAGGCTGGCCAGTTGGCTTCGGATTGGATGGTAATGGCTAAGAGATGAATTAAGTGCAGCGCTGATCGGCTATTTCAGTGAATACAGTACTAAAATTTAATTTATTAACTTCTTCAGTGAATAGAATTAGTCTCTTTTAATTGCAGCTGTTCACACAATAAAATAACCCTTTGCATAAAAAAAGAAATTCTCCAAACCTAGAAATGCTTGTATCAAGGTCTGGCCACACTGTCCACAAAGTCGAACCGTTCGAATCTGGTGAAAAGTTCGAAGGTTCGTCGAACCGGTTCGACCCAGTCGAACCCTGAAAGTTCGACCAAAAAATCTGGTTCGACAAAAGTTCGCGACACCCCTAGAGATCATACATACTAACTCTAGAGGAAAAGGTCCGCCACTTTCCCATACATTCTGGCTGCCGCAAGCGGCGGATCACGCAGGCAGACCCTCGGGGTCCCAAACACGGTTACATCATCAGAGCAGTTTCGTGAACTTCAACAATCCACGAACTTACCGGTGGAAAGATATTCGCGTTCCTTTCGAAGCTTTCTTTTTGCATAGCGCGCAGATGTACGGCCTCGCGTTAACGCTAAACTAAACCATATACCCGGATTCGCCGGTGGGGCGCGGCTGGGCGCGGTTGAGGAATACGAAACTGCGCAACCACCAGATTTCCGAGATTTCGACAGAAGGGAAGTTAAAGGGGTACTGAATCGGAATTTCGAGCTCACAAAACTAGGCTGGACGAATAGGCGGGACGCTGCAAAACCCAAAAACATCACTCATACAGCAATATCTCTAACGGATTGCCGTATTTTTAGAAAAGAAATTCGCGATTAAACACGGCTGACAAGGCCGACGAGACAAGGCACGTCACGATTCCCATTCCCTCTTCACCTCGCTACGTCTCGTGTCGAGTTGGTGAACCGAAGCAAGGAGCAGAGAAGCGAGGCCGCTTCCCCTCATTCTCAAATTTTCCCGTAGGATAATTACGTCAAAGACCTCACTTGATCGCGCCCTTCATTTCCAAAAGTACGGCCATCCGTTTGAGATATCAATGTTTGAGTGATGTTCTGCAGTTCGTAGCGTCCCGTTCAACGATTCTACAGCCTTATTTTGCGAAATCCAAATTTCGGTTCAGTATCCCTTTAATGCAGCGTAACAGGGCCGTACCCAGAAAAAAATTTCGGGGGGGGGGGGGGGGGGGGGGAGGTTTCGGGGACAACGGCGGCCATTTTGAAAGTGTCTATTGTATTATTTTCGCCTATGAATCATGTGCATCGGTGGCATATAATGGAGAGTTACAGCAAACCGGAGAACCGGTCCCGGTTTGGTACCCGGTAGCCGACCGCTGCCACTGCGCGTGCGCAGAGGTGGAGATTAAAATCGGCTGGCTGCAAGTGCACCGACCAGGGCCGTACCCAGAAAAACATTTCGGGGGGGGTCAGAACCCCCTAACCCCCCCCCCCCCCCCCCCCTGGTTACGGCCCTGCAGCGTAATGACTTTATTGTTTTTTATAAGCGTTAGAATAGCTCCGAATTTAGTTTAAAACGTTAAATTATCACTGTTTACATTGCTGAGAGTTTTCACTCTTCGCGTTTACCATGGCAACGTTGCTTTCTTTCTCTCGTGTTCTGTCGCTCTCTTTTGCGATCGTTCACTCGGGACCCCGGGTGTCGGCGCACGGGATTTGCCACTCCTCCTCACCCACCTTTACCCCCCTGGTGGGAGCAAAGCCGTCACGCAATCTTGAAACTTTTTTTTTTTTTTTCGTAGTGAAAACGCGTTTTTGAGACAAAAAGTTCAGTTTCCTGCGATTCTTTTGTGTACATCACATAAGAAGAAAAAAAACAGAAAAAAAAATGTTCAGTGGACATGCAGGTTCCATCTCTTGTGGAATCACCCAGCGCTCCGTCCAGGGTGGTAGTAGCGTACCACCCTGGACGAAGCGTCCAGGGTGGTACGCTACGCTAAAGCTCAGTAATATGCATACTGAGCGTAATATTTGAAGACTCGACGTAAGAGATCAGATTAATTGTATGCGATATTACCGAGCGATGTACTTTAATCCGTAGGAGGGAAACGTGGGTTTGCAGAACGTGGAGACCATCTTACTACTCACTGCTCATGTGAGAAGGCCGTTTTACATGGGATGGATTTGTTTGGCATAGTCTGTTCGATCCTAAAGTAGGCAATGTTGTGGCTAAAGGACGTCGTGGACAACTTCCAGATTAATTATTAAATCTAAAGCCTGAAGGCTGTGTAGCGCATTTGCGCCGGTTGCGTTCTCAGCGACCGAAAATCAATGCAAAGACAGAGACACCGACACAACCGTGGCTCTTGGCGTTCCTCGCCGCAGTTGGCCAAGTAGGCAGCGCGCGCTTGGCCTAACAGTTATTGTGCTTGCCTCCCACGCGAAAAGCCATGGTTCGATTTCTGGGCTGGGAGCGACGCATCTTTTGTTTATTCCTGCAATTTAGTGTTCTGGTAAATTCGAGAATCTTGCTGCCAGAAGCCCACGCGTGTACATAGGGGGCTTCGCGTGGCGAGCCAAAGTCAGTTTCGCCTCAGCGTTCGATCCTGCTGTTTCGACGCCCGCGACGCTCTGTAGTTATCTTCTTTTCCTTTTTGTTTTGGGCACAAGTTCGCCCCATTAAACGTTTAGTTTCCTCAGTTATTCTCTGTTTCATTACCGCTTCATTCGTGACAATATAAGCGTCCTTGGCACTGTAGCTAGGGGACAAAAAGGGACTTTTTGTCCCCTAGCTCCAGGGTTAGTATGTCTATCCTTAACCAGCTCGCCTGCCTCTGTGTATGGAATCAAACTATAGATCACAGATATCTTGCAAGTATATTATTTTTGTTGCGCGTATCAAGGCAGGAAAGTTATTTTTCAATGCCGCCAAGCACCTACACCGCATGTGGTGGCAGTGCGAAGGTGTGCGCTTGTTTCGTCTAAAGTCGCTGGATCCTGGGAAAGTAACGCCAAGCTAGCTTTCCCGTACGGTCGCCATCTTGGTCCGTGAAATGAGCAATTTCTCCTTGACCCGTCCGCCATTAGTGAGCCGATCTAAATTCGCTGGTGACAGGTAGCTTTATATGCTATCCACAGACCGGCGAAACAAGCGTACATCTTTGTACGCTTTGAAACCACCGCTTAGTTTTCTCCAGTGTTTCTAAAATAGATAAAAAACGCTGTAAAGTTTTAACATTCTGTATTTATGCGCCGAGAAAGTGAGGGAGAGGAGAAGACGAGAGGGACGTCAGAACGACGAGCTCTGATTGGAGCGATTAGTGGGTAGGCCTAAAGCTAGCAGCCTTTGTCTCCACTCCACTCGTAGAACGCGTTGAAACGTGGAACGCAGGGGTCCGGCGTTTGGCTGTCGCATTGGAACGCGTTCGACGAGTTCAGTGGAGACAAAAGCAGCCATAGCTTTCGGTGTACCCCCTAATCCTTCCAATCAGAGCTCGTCGTTCTGACGTCCCTCTCGTCTCCTCCTCTCCCTCACTTTCTTGGCGTATTAAAGCGAAATTCGATGAAACTGCGTCAAGTGATTTGATAAAACGTCGTGCGATGAAACGGTGTTCGTTGAAGCGGCGTTCGATGAAATATCTGGTGTCCGTACGTGTACGTCAGTCTTACTAAGGTCTCGTACACATTAAAAAAAGCACGCATGCGCTTTGCCGAAAAAGAGATGTATTCTACAGCGCACAACTGCGCTAACACCACTTACCAACATGCCTCCTTTACGTGTTCAGGGTTGGAAGCATTGAAGGACTTCTTTTCTATCGTGTGCAGACCGTGCTTGCAGTCCTTCATTCCTTCAATGGCTTGCTCCACGTTGCAGTTTGCGGCCACTCTTGTTACTAGAAGTACAGGACAGTTCTCACTTTTTGTCCACAAAATATTTAGTAAAAAAAAAAAAAAGAAAAGGAGGATACGCGAAGGCGAAGGTCAATCGGCCGTTCTGGCGTGCGAAATAAAAATTGAGTGATTTTTATCTTCGAAAGGCTCTTGAGCCCCTTGAGCCACTCTGTAAATTTGTCTCGTAAGTATTTTTATTTACAGTCATATGCCGAAATTATATTTCGTCATAAATAACGTCTCCGCAAAGCCGGAATGACTAGAAATTCTGCAACAAACTTCTGTTCTAAACTTCTTTTTTTTTTTTTTATGCAAGGGAATATATATATATATTTCGTCATTCTTGTCCAGCTCGCTTGCACCTCTGCATTTAATTGCATTATAATTATAACCTTCAATTGCAAACCTCACCCTTGTTGGTGTTCGACTGGTGGCGGCTGATAAAACCCGTTTGCTCTACTGACGTCTAACCCCTGGTTAGCTCAGTTGGTAGAGCGCTCCACCTGTAATGGAGAGGTCCCGGGTTCGATACCCGGACCAGGCGGATTTTTTCAGACGCTCACCAGTCACCTAGCTGTGTTTGGAGATTTATGTTTGTCCTTTGTCCCCCTTGTTCCCCTTCTCCAGGGATTATTTTCGTCGTAACCATATAGACCTTGCATCATGCAGAATATCTGGGGTGGGTAAGACACACGGGGAACACCACACAATAAAAAAAGGTTATTTATCTGGTTTACCTAAAGACGAGTTTGTCAGCCTGATTGTGTCGTCAGATTCGTTTTGTATTGTTCGACATTGTTTGACTGCTTTTGCGGGCACCAAAGGCTACGTGCAGACGTGGTGAATACAAGAGCTGACGTGGACGTTCCGTGTTGTCCGTTTTTCCTATTTTTTTTAATTTTGAGCTCAGAACACGACCGCCTTGTGGTTGATAAGTTTATAACATGTGCGTACTGCAATGGTGGCCTGCGTAGAGCAGTTGTATACTACGCCGTTGTCTGTGTCCTCGGCTGGGATCAGACAGGGGCGGACACAATAGGGCGTTCGCCGCCCGCACTTGGCAGTTACGCGCAGCAGATGGCACAAGCGACGAACACCTGTGTACTTCAAGACAAAGTGCCCGAATGCGCAGAGGAGAAAATGCGTGGAAGAAGCGGCGGTATTTTTCTTCTTTCTCTTTACGGCGATTGTTAGAGTATTGACGGAAGGAAACTCAGCTTTTGTTAGAAGCAGGGTATTGAATGTGCACAGGGGTGACAAGCTGCGTGCCTCAGCGGTTGCGTTTAAAAGCATGGTTGGATTTAAGGAAAAGGGGAGGGGGGGGTCATTCAGATTTGCTGAAGAGCCTGAATAGTGGGGAATGTTAGCAAATTGTTTTCAAAGACCCATTACCTATCCAGGCGCACGCTTCGAAGCATCCTTTGAAGTTGCAGCAACAGCGCCAGCTCAACTTTCTGAGGCAATACAGTCAAGGGTATACGGGAGCGGCGCGTGTTTTTGCGCCATTTAAAGCGAGGCACGCTCATTCGTTCTCTCTTCGGACGTGCCACACAAAGATGACCCCGGGCTTAAAGAGGGTATTCATCCCTGGATGCCTTATTTGAGGGCGATGTTTAGGGCGCATGCTCAAAACGAACTCAGATTAATATGCTGCTAAGACCGGCAGTCTTGGCGGTGCAGAATGCACGTTACAAAATAACTGGGAGCTCGCCGTCAGCACGCGCTCAGCAGTCGAGCACACAGCTATGGCCGCCAGTGAATACTCCCTATAGACGCTTTACAGCAGCTGTGCATGGGCGCCGCCATAACCGCCCTTCAGTTATTGTTTCCGCTTATATTTTTCACTCTGCTCCATCATTACGACAGGAGGACAGGTTACTGGCATTTTAGATACGACGGTGTCTTTTTCCCCAGCATTTGCCTTTGTGAAGGCTCGCCAAAGCCCGCTTCAGTGGTTTGATATCTCGGTAAGAAAATAGAAGGTCGGCAATGGCGTCTGTAATCTGGCGCGTGTGTAAAGCGTCTATACATGGATTGCACGCGACGTCATCATCACACCCTGCCGCTGGTCATATACACTGCGTGTCACTCCTGGGAACACGCTTGCAGCAAAAACAAATTCAGCGGTGCATGAGGTACGCCCCCAACAGCAAGGCCACCACGACGGCAGCTGCATTGACGTCATTGCAAGTCGTGCTAAAAAGTTTTCACTGCGGCCATAGCAGGGTTAGGACACGAAAATTAAACGGGTAGATTAGTCTTGAAATGGAATGCTCGTAGACTACTTAGTATATACACACAATTGCGCGATTTGTAGAGCTCTAGTAATTGCAATAATCCATTTACGAATACTGATCACTTCCGTCTGGCGACCATGCAACACTGCTCAAGTCAGTCACACCATGGTGCCCATAAACCACGTGATCATTACATTTAGTCGTACACTATCTCATTCTAGGCGCACCCATGCTCGCCCAAGCTCGCTTCGCCACGGTACGATCAAATACTTTACTATAGTACTCAGTTTAGGATTCGGCGCGGCCGTCATTCTCTCTAATACAAACGAGAGTGTCCTGTATAGTCCCCTAGTAAAGTATTTGGTACGTTCGCACAATCTCAAGCTACGCTTTTTTGATTGCAACTGGTAGCAGCGCGCAAAAGCACAAGGACAAAGGAAGGAATGCACAAGCCGAGCGCTGAACTTCAACTGAACCAACTCGCCTGCATCGCCACATTGATCTACTCTTTCCCTTGCTATTTGACCTTCCACCCTACATGCACGTGTGAGATCGTAGCGGACAGCGGCGAGTTCGTCCGGGACAATCTCGTCGTCGTCGCTGGAGCTGGTTGCGAGTGGGTTGAAGTAAAAAAGACCAGCTCCCAGGGGGGAGGCTTATGGGGCGCACCCATGCCCCCCCCCCCCCCCCCCCCCCCCTCTCTTGAAAAAAAAATTCCTGGCTACGTCACTGCCAGCTTCCAACATCTTTTCATAACAATCACTCTCATCGCTGCTGCGATCAGTGTCGAAGACTCCGACGAAGAGAGCGATGGAGTAGACGTTATCGTCTCGAAACCTCGTCGTCGAAGCCCGGAAAGTAAACGAGGAAGCTGAAGTACGTACTAGACGCCGAGAGAGCCAAGTCGCTGGTCCGCAAGGGGATGCCGCGCGTTGGGCGAATGACGTCACCGACCGAACAAACATGGCGCGGTATTTCGAATAGGGTGGATCCGAAGGTCCCACGTAAAAGTCGATGGATCCTAGCAGTATGTGAAGCCCAGATAAAAGCATTTCCGCGAGACTCGGCACTGATTGGTTGACGGGTGGGAGAGGAGGAATGAGGTGCTCGGTGCTGATTGGTTAATGGGCAGGTCATGTAATCAGGGAGGTAGGCGAGGAGGAGTTGACCACCTGTGTGCACTGAAGGAGAGGAGCTCGCGAGTACGGAAGGCTCTGGAAGATTGCCAGTTTTATCAGCCCGATTAGCGTTAAACTATTTGACGAAGAACTATTTGATGAAGAGCGCCGTGAACGTACGCGCCTGGCGTCTGGAAATTCAGAGTATTGCTAGACGTTTGTGATGCTAGGACGCTTCACGTATGCAACACAATCGCCTAAAAATGTGGCTTTTTTTTTTTGCGTGTTTTGTTTTTTTAGAGCACGTGCAGGCAGCGGGCTTTTGCTAAATTCCTTTCGCATCGTTAATTGGCGACGTGCGCGATCGAAAGCGTCGCTGTGGTCGGCCTTCCACAATTGGCCGAATGCTGACTATGACGTCAAGAAAGGATTTATCATCGACAGAAATAAGAGGAATGTAAGAACTTTAATTTTGACGGTGTTGGCAGTGTTGCTTTGAGAGCGCAATGATTTCAAGCTTCCACCATGCTATTTAAAAACACCATTGAACTTGTTGTTCGCAAGGTAATGACGTCACGAGAGGGAACCATAGGAGGGCACCACCAAAACATCTCGCCGCTAATACCGGCTCCACCAAAGATTTTGTCTTTCGGCGGCTTCGTAGAATTTGTTTCATTCGATCAAGTACGGTTCATTCATCTGGATATTTTCGATTACTTCTATTAGCGGCGAGATGTTTTGGTGGTGCCCTCGTATGGTTACCTCTCGTGACGTCATTACATTGCGAACAAGTGGGATGGTGTTTGTACTGAGCATGGTAAAAGCTTGAAATCATTGCGCTCTCAAAGCAACACTGCCAACACCGTCAAAATTGAATTTCTTACATTCCTATTATTTCTGTCGATGGGAAATCCCTTGCTGACGTCCGACTCAGCGTTCCGCCAATCGTGGAAAGCCGACCACAGCGACACTTCCGATCGCGCACGTCGCCAATGGGAGGTATTCACGTGTTATCATCAGCACGAGCTGTGGGTAAAGCGACTTATATGCCACGAGTAACGGTTTTAATGGTGCGAAAGGAATCCGGTGAATCCTCTTTGTCAGCGCTGGATCAGAGAGCGTGCACAGACATGGCCGCAATCGTCAATATTTGAGCATTCCGTGTCTATTTTCCTCTATCTGCGAGTTGGCGCGAAAGCGCGCGAAAGAAATAAACTACACGATGCTGGTCGTAATATTCTCCCAGCTTCTTTGCAAATAACAAAAAGAGAAAAGGTTCCAAAATTGGCCGCTTTTTCGTGCGCCTCGCACGCACGCTGTTTTGCGTTGTACATTTTCCCACCTAGATCATAATCACTAATCTGCCGGGTTTCTAGACCATATTTACGAATTACAAATAATGTGATCCTCCAAACATGCTTTCTGGCCACTTTGGTTAGATTGTGGTCATGCTTTTGTACTATCCCTAAAAACCTGAAGTCAAGTCAATAATTTGCAATAATTCGTATTGACACTGGGAATTCTTTCGATCGGGCAACGGGAGCGGATGGCTGTACTCCTAGTTTATAGCTTCGATCATGGGTTGGTAGCCACAACGCTTCACTCGTGTGAGGCATTGTGGTGTTTCTTGACTTTCGTGCGACAATTAACTCTGAACACCCCACTGGCCTTCCCCGGCCCTCAACCGAGTCTCTAGCGGTTCCTCTTGTGTAAGCGCGTCAAGGGGAGTGTCGCACAACGTGTTTTAGAACCTCGGCACATGTGTCGGCCCCTGGCTGTTGAACACCTAACAGTAGCGCGTCACAGCGGCAGCTTGGCGAAGGTCGGCAGCTGTTGCGAGCTGAGAAATTCCGAGGCAGTTTGTTACACGTGACAGAGGTCAATGCGTGCGTAATGCAGAAGGCGAATGGGCTGAGTTGGAATACGAACGAGAGCAGAATGTGTATTACTAATTTATAACCTAACCTCACGAGATGAACGTTCAACAAACGCGGTGGGTTTGACGCAGACATGAGGCTTGAACATTACTAAGCGGATACATTTTGAATTAACGGTACTTCTCGAAATCGCTGGCGTCGCCAGCAAGCTGCTCGTGAGATCATCGCTGGTCAGCAAAGTGCAGATGCCGGTCTCTTCCTCTCTATGCCCGAGCATTCAGCGACTGCTGCTGTCGTCAAGTATATTCGTCTTGCTAGCATAGACGGTAACAGGCAACCTGCAACGCTGTTTGGTTTAGCGCTATCTAGCGACTGAAGCAAGAAACGTTGGGTATGCCTGGGAGTGGCGGCTGCATTGGCGGCTGCGTGCATTACTTCCGTTTTGAAGTTATCGAAACAGTGCAAACAGCTGTAACGTAATGTAGTAGCTAGCATATGTAAGAAAAAAAATATATATCTTTGTGTACATATATGTGCAAAAAAAAAAAAATAAAAGAGAGCAGAGCCGGTCTTAAACTTCAAGAGTATACGCGGAGGAAAGCGAAAAATCATTCTAAAGGCGCGCACAAAGCCGCGCAAGGCCAGCGTCAAAAAGAAGCGCAAAAATACCCCCCAAAAAACAAACCAAAACAAACAAAAACTCACCGCTGACACAGGTGAACAAGCAAAGGAGCCAAATCATGGCGCGCTTTGCGGGCCATACAATACGGTATAGAGGCCGGCACAGACACCGGAACGTAGTGGTTGGCGCTTTCACGCCATTCGACCTACAGCCGGCTTGCAAGAACGCACGCACGCGCGCTGCAGGACCACGGAGACTACACGCCGCACTCTCGAACGACTTGGAGCACTGGAGCGGTCGGACCGCCCGCAGTGGCAACGACAGCGCTGCCACGATCCGCCGCCGGACGTGACGTAGAAAACGGGACATCTGCCGTCGGCGGCGAAAGAAGCCTTGCCCGCAACTGCGCTACGCCGTTCAGCTACTTGCCTCCGTCTTTGAAAGTTTCGTTGGGAACAGCGGAGGCAGGCCCTTTGAGACACGAGTTACACAACCTTTCTTTAGTCGTGGCTGTTTGAAGTAGCGCGCGGGAAGGCAGAGTCGCTTCGGAGGTCGAGAAGAGTGGGCGCATGAGTGTGCGGCCTAACAAACTGCGAAATCTATTGATTACATGCGGGCGCATCATACCCCCATAGCGCGCGGTGGACTCAATACTCCGTGGTGCGGAACGTACGTCGTCGTTTTTGCCCCCGCTTTCCCGTCATTTGGTCTATGTTATTTTCTTTCTTTCCAGTACCTCCGCACGTGTCCCGTACCCTTATATGTGGCCACAAGGTTACGTACGTTCAGGCTAAGAGCGTGTAATTAGGGAGGGCGCCCCAAGTTTGTGAATGGTCGAATTACTTAATTAAGGGCGATTCACACATGAGTCCGACCAAGTGCGGCCGCAACGGCTTGTGACGTTAATCCTTTTACCGGTTTGTATGGCGACGGGGTTTTAAGCCGCTTACAACCGTACCGTTTCCATAGCAATCCGTAAAAAGATGAACGTCCCAAGCCGTTGAAGAGAAATCCCAGCCCATTCTTGGCTGTCATCGAGTGTTCTGGTTCAGAACATTCCTTAGCGTGCAGCGTGCATGAAAGTAGCGATAACGCACTGCTTCGGGACAGTAGCCCTTCCGTCGTTGACGCAAGATCTGGGCACTTTTCTCTTTAAGTTTGTTGGCAGAAGTTCGCCTTATTAAACATTTATTTCCCTCTCTAAATTCATCTGCTTTTTGGTTTGAGCTATGTACATGCAAAGAATGGCCCACCGGTTTCAGTCCATAGCCTCCAGATTTTACACAGATGTAGTTTTCACATTCAAATCGAGGCTGGAGACCTGTGCAAGTCGGTAAACAGAGAGGGGCTTCCTCCGCCCGCTGCACCAAGAAACATGCTAACAGGCTCACCACGTGCAAGACTGAGCAGAACTCCATGCCCATGTCCAGCGGCGCTGAATACATCGTCCAAACGGGTCGCTGCATAAACGACCGGCTCGGGAAGCACCACAAAGCTGTAGAGGACGCCACACCCAACAGTCGGCGCCCGATAGACACGCAAAGACGGGAATGCCGCGGCTGCTCTTCCGACTTTGCCGCCACGACGACGCTGGTAAATCTTCGTGTCCGCGTCGGAAGGAAGATTATAGAAGCCTTTCGAATGGTGACAAGCCCGCAAATCATAGGCTCATCGTTTCTTTTGCTCAAGAAGACCTCGGGACCCCGGCGGCTCGACTACTGCCCTTTTATCCCTAAAGCATCCCCCACCCTCCTCTTTCTTCCAATGCTTGGATGTCCAGGAAAGTTGGGGATGGTGGAGAGGAGACGTAAATGTGATGGCGGGCGACATCAAAATCTAAGAACAACGCACAGAAAAATGGCTCAAATTTATGCCGTTCTAGGTTTCAAATCCGCATTTTACTAATTTCGCGATCATAACCGGCACTTATTATTTTTATACATAAAATATGAAGATTCAAAGATAATAAAATACCATAAAACCAAAAATCAAATTTTTTTGCCAAATATTGTTTTCAACCCTCATCGGCATGCGGCATTTACACCGTGTCCGAATGTATCGATCGAGGAGGGCATATCCGATCATTCAATACGTGTCTGTGACTTATCACCACTTCAAAGTTACGTGTAGTGAAAATCAGTTGAAACGGTTTCCTGATTTCACTGGGGAAAATGACGTCGTCATTCAGGCACGTAGCCAGGGGGGAAGCCCGGCCCCCCCCCCCCCCCCCCAAAAAAAAAAAAAAAATCTTCCATTTCGCTGGGGCCTCCTTTCATCCCTCCCTCTCATACAGCATTATGTCATGGGCGACCCGCCCCCCCCCCCCCCCCCCCCCCCGAAACCAAATCCTGGCTACGTGCTTGTCGTCATTCTTGATTTGCTAAGTCAAGCATATGAAGAGTTTTCTATGATATGCGAAATGAATGGCGATTGTGTCGATAAGCTATGTTTTTTTTTTAAGCATGTTGTCCTAGTGCGCATCGAAAGGTTTGTCCCGAGTGTACAACAAAAAGAGAGAAGCAAAATCTATGGGTGACGAGCGATATTTTACATCCTAAAAGCAAGATACACCGCATAGAAAGACACCAACCATGTTTAAAGGGTACGCTTCCTTTCCTTCGCCAACTACGTATCCTCGTATCCCCTTTCGAAAGTCACGTGCCGATTATTGGAAAGTCGGAACCACTGCACAATGGCGGAGCAACTGACATCCTGGAACATGCAAGTAATTCCATAAGATAGCGAACCTAGGAGCGCGGCCAACGCGCTGACGAGCCAATCAAACACCGTTGAAAGTGCAACGTCACTGCGCTCATCACCTCTTTTTGTGGGTGTGCTTTTGCCTTCTAATCCAACCAAACGCATAAAGTGTGCCGTGACGTGGAGGACTAGTCCGCCATTTTACAGAGATTCTACAGCTGCCAAAAGAGGGTAGTCTTTCGAAAGCTCTATTAAGGAACTAAATCAAGGTGGGGGCGCGCTCAACGATGAACAGAGTAACAAAAATTAGCCGCTTTTTTTATATACACTGTTGATAACACTGTACTACCTCCATTTTCGCATGACATGCATTGTCAAATTAGTCATTTGGTGGTGACTGTCATGCGGACCAGATAGAATTCCCGACGCGTTTTTACAAAGGTATGCGGGATGGTGCTTAAAGTTTCTTTACGAGATATACTCTTGTAGTTTAAGAACTGGCCAAGTTCCACAAGATTGGAAAGTGGCCAAGGTGCTACCAATAGGCACCCTGCGTCCGCTAGGAGCCGCTACCGATCGCCCAGCGAACAGCGCCGCGCGCGGCCACTTTTCCGGCGCCGCCTACGCTGCTCCCGCGCTTCCGTCAATGTGCGTAGCCCAAACTTGCACACCGACCCTGCAACACCCACCGGTGTACCACTGCAGTCGGGCTGCGAGTGCCGAGGTCGCTTTCGATGAGTACGCGCGACGCCGCCGCGAGAGGCGCGCGTATCGGCACTGAGTCAGATCTGCAGGGTGCCCATATATAGAAGAACGGCGATAAAAATATTGTCTCTAACTACAGACCTTTCAAGTTCTTGAGTACATGCAGCAAGTTTCTTGAGCATTTTATTTTTAAACACATCGTTTTTTTTGTTTTTGTTTTTAATCTGCATGTTATCAAATTGAATATTTCAATACGCTTTTTTCCCGATGTTTAGTTGTTGTTGCTTGTGCGCAGGGCGATTGAGATAGTTAATTGAATGTAAACATTTAGTACATGCCTAAGTTTTATTTTTGACATGTGAATGTTAAGTTCACAAGAACAGTCATCCTCTCATAAATCATTTATTCACCGCAGTGCTCCCTTTCCTTACGATAAAAATCACCGTTATAATCACATAAAATTAATAATTAGCGAGAATGTTTCGAAGTCTCCTTTTTTTACTAATTTTATATTGTCGTAATACAAGCAGTTGTTTTTGTTTGCTAGTTTATTGATGTCAGTAGCATAATACTGGAAATGATCGTTCACGCCTAAACGAGGAATCCACCTTATTTGGCAAATACTCTCAGGAACCCAAGAAAATAATTTTGAGAAAAAACAAATTGTACCCAGCATATTATCGATCCTTCGGAATTACTGCAGTCGAAGGGCAAGTCTTGTATTTTGCTGTATTTTTTTTTTTAATTGTACTCGTTTGAACATCGCTGTTTCTCAAAAATGTGTGTGAGGTGCGTAAGAATATTTTTCTAATGATGTAATACACATCTTAGATTCTACAGAATTTTCCAAAATAATGGGATGTTATCCTATTTAATTTATGCAATCATAACAAGTTGTTTGTACCCAAGAATAAACTATAGACTTCGATTAACTTGGATACTATCCGTAGTGGCAATACATCAAAAAGTTTATTCGACTCTGGAACCTGCAATTTACACGTTATCATCTTGAACTTTTGGCTCAAGAATAGATATACGATAGAATGCAGCAGTAGCATGGGAAATAGTTCAAAGCGTACCGTTTCAGTGCTATGGCCATATTTGGTATATTAAACTCATGGGCTTCTATGGGAGCGCTGCCCTGACCCGCTAAGAGATGGCGCAAGCATACGATGGCACAAATTTCTGGGAGATGATGCACGTTCTCTAGAGTAAACTTGGTTTGTCACGCTGGGTTATAAAGGCAGACGTCTGGGTACCCGTGCACTCGTGCACCTTGAGCGCCTATCAAAGCTGTGTACGCGCACTGCTCGCTCCTGATGTGCCACAGAAAGCTTTTGAAAGGGGCGTGCAACACAAGAATAGAGGCGACATCTCAAGTCTTGTCCTTTTCCCGTGGTGCGTCCTCGTGCTTTTCTCGGCGTTCGACATGCCTTCCTTTTCAATGGAGCGAAGCCGGCGTTCTTAATTGTAGCAGCGAAAAACGGCACCTAAATTCCGTCTGTAGCAGAAAACGGCACCTAAATTCTGTCTGTAGAAGAAAACGGCACGTAAATTCCCATTGGCTGAGCGAAACGACACCTAAATTCCCATTGGCTACGACGCGTCATGTGGCTCCATAGCATCGGCGTCATCATTGCTAAGGGGCCAGCCGAACTGCTGGCGGCGCAGCGGGAGAGAGAGGGGGGGTGGGGGGAGGGTATGCACTGGCCTGACGTTAGGCCTAACGTCAGGCCTATCGTTATGCTTTGAGGCCTAACGTCGTCAACCGGTACGCGCAGCTGTTTGACCGGAAAGGGGGGGGGGGGGGGTATGCGCTGACTTGGCGTCAGACCTAACGTTACTTTGAGAACATGGTAGCGCTTCAAGACAGGGACGAGAGTAAGAACGAGATAACACAATGCGCTACGCTTTGAGGTCAAACGTTGTCAACCGGTACCCGCAGCTAGGGCGATGATGATGATGAGAGGACACGTGATTTCAATCTGCGCGGCGCACCGCCGCACTCCCTGCCGGCGCTGCGGCCGCTTCTGCTCCTCTCGATCGGCGCCGAGGAACATGGCGGCGCCTCAAGCATCTATTCGCGACTCCACCGAAATCAACGCCGCGTAGCGGCAACGCCGAGATGCTCAGGAGAGGAGGTCGTTTTGACTATGTCGTCCGCTATCGCTGCTTGGTTCTCGAAGGCAGTATAGAAACAAACATCGTTTCCAGTAATTATTTTATGCTTCCGCCGTGTCATTCCTGCGCTCTGTCTAGGACAAGGTTTCTGCCGTCGAAAAATCGCTTTGCTTTTATATGTAACACCGATTTTACGCTGCAGTGCAAGAAATTTATGGTGGTCCGCGTGCTGAACGACGAAAACCTCCTTTCGTCCGCCATTTTGCCTGACCAGCGCGCCCCCTATAATTCTCTGGAGTCGCGATATAACGTCGGCAGATAGCGAAACGTGGCCGACCACGCCAGTACACCGCAGACTAGCTAAGGGAGCGGAAGAACGACATTAATATGCTTCTTTCGCATTCACAACTCATAAGAAGTGCTTAGGTGTCCTCGGAATTTTTTTCTCGACACAACTTAAAAGGTACTTGGTGTGGCCGATTAGTGCTGGATTGAGTCTGTACATGGGTACGTTGTTTTCTGACAGTGAAGCCACAGCTATGGGTACCCATGCGTTCGCCACCTTGAGCGCCGATCAAAACTGTGCGCGCGCGGTCTTCACTTCTGAAATGCCAGAAAAAGTTTGTCCCCGAGTATGACTTAAAGTCCCTCTATCCTGGGAAAAGTGGCGCCATTCATTGTTGTGGAAATGCTCGAGAGCACATGCCGCACGCCACTTCTGGGAAGAACATGGCGTCTGAAATCTAGCTCAGTGCTGCGCTGCGCCGCCATGATCTTCCCAAGGGCTGCACGTTGCACGTGCCTGGTGCATCGGCGCACCTTGCGCTACTTCTGAAACATGAAGGGGGCTTAGCATGACTTGCGCGTGATGTCACTGCATCCTGCTGGTGTTCAATCCTACTTGTTCTGTCTGCGAAAAAGAAACCCGATGGTGTCGAATGTCTGCAGCAGGAGGTACGCACTCAGCGGAAGGGCCGCCGCAATTGTCGCGGATGTGACGTCAGCTACGTTGGTTCACCCTGCCATCATTCACCGTATATAGTTATTCTGAATGACGTATGCATTCAGTTCATTTCTCACGAAGTAATGAGCATGATTATAATGCAATTAAATGCAAGGGTGCAAGCGAGCTGGACAAGAATGAAGAAAGGACAAACATGTCCGCGACCGGACATGTTTGTCCTTTGTCCCTCTTGTTCCCCTTCTCCAGGGATTACTTTCGTCATGAGCATGATGTATTCTTATTTTATTATTTTCTCGTTATGGTACGTATTCGCTGCTGCTGAGCGATTGACCATCTTCTCAAGTTGCTAAAACGAACTATATGTAAAAGCACGCAAAAACAGTAAAAAAGAAACTGGGGTGCGCTGAGCGCCACGTTTCGCACTGCACCGTATATACAAGACAGACATCAGCGAGAGATGCGTCCTCGGTGCTTGCGTCGGATGATTTTTCGGTCCCTGTAGTGCGCCTTGCGGGCGTGATTGGTAATCTCGAGGAACTTGCTGCGGAACGGCAACTTGATGTTGTCAATGACCGAGTCAATAAATGACTTGGCCTTGGTCTCGATCGTGATCACTATGTACTCCTTGTACTGGCGCAGCAGCTCTGTGGTGAGGATTCGGCCTAGCCAGTTCAGGGCAATCGTGGCTCCGGTGAAGCGTGTCACATCAGCCACCCCGAAATCGACCACCTGCGAAGACAAACGCGTTGCGGCGAGTGTGGTTTCGACTTACACGCCAATGACGTCAAAAGATCCACAGTGCGCAAACGACCCCCCCCCCCCCCCCCCCCTCTACCAACCTCGCTTCTTTGAGGACGACAATGACACCAAAGCGAGCAACATCAAGTCATTCTGGCACCCTAAATTCACGAGTCACTTATACTTTGAGTTTCTAGTTCTATAGTACGAGCAAACTATTGAAATGGAAAAGTCGGAATATACATATGCTTATATACTCCGGCTTCAAAACGCTTAATCTATGTACCATTGTAACATCTCCTCACAATAAGCATGCACGGACCTTGAACTGCGTGAGCACGGGCACCTCATTCTTGACGCGAATCTGGATTTCGACGGTTAGCCCCACCAAGAGGACGTCCATGTGGCCGTCCAGCTCGAGTACGGCGATGGGTCTGAAGGTGTACAGGCTCTTGACGGAAAGGTTGCCGAAGCGGAGGTGACCCTCGATGCACACCGTGGTCCTGTTGAGCACTCGAAGCGCGGTGTCCTTGATGCGACGCAGCCGACAGAGCCCTTCCACAGACACGTTGAAGATTCGGCCATTGTCCATGACCACCTCATCGAGAGTGAGCGGGTCGAGTGTCGACGACACGGTGCGGTCGCCCTCCAGCCGCTCGGTGATCAGGTCGAGCAGGCTGTTGGCTAGCCACACGTCGCGCCCGTAGGCGCGAGCCAGGCTTTTCGGATTCACGTCCGAAGCGACCCGCGACCGGACATGCGGGAAAGAGGCCGCGGTGAAGGTCCTCATGCGGCGGCGTCCCCGTCTTCGCCATGCAGCACTCTCCACGCTCGTCCATGGAACAGGGTCGAACGAAACTGCGCAAAGGGAGTTCACTGTCACCGGGTTATCTCTGCGACGTTGACTGTACTCAACTTCTCGACAGCTCGAGTTGCAGAGCCAGAGGTGAGCCGCAGCCAAGACCAGTGCTAAGCAACGCGTTCGCGCCAGTGGCGGGATAACGGGATATTTCGATGTGGTACCCAATGTCAACAACTTGCCACCGCAGAAAAAAAAAGGAGCATGACGAAAGGACAGAGGAGCTTATGCCGGATATACCTTTTGACGTACTCTAACGAAAAAGGGGGGGGGGGGGGGGGGGCAGGTACTGTGGGAAAAAAACTCTAACGCAAAAGGGGGGGGGGGGGGGGGCAGGTACTGTGGGAAAAAAGCGACCCACACACACACACACACACACACACACGCGCGCGCGGCGCACACACACACACACACGCACACGCGCGCACACACACACACACACACACACACACACACACACACACACACACCGTGACTTGAGCATCTGCAGCTAAAATCGCGTGACGCGTATATGTGTATTACATTCATGAACCATGCACCTCGACTCCCTTATCAATGCTTCCGCATTTAATGCGGCAAATCCTCCTCACGCTTAGCTAAAGCACTTATACTTTTCTCTCCTATGGACGAAAAAAAAACTCAAATTTCTGCCGACATTCGACGCACTGCATATTAAACTTACTACTGTATTTTTTTTAGGGGGGAGGGGTTAACTGTTAATTGGTACCGTCTTCACTGTGTATTTATCGGGCTGCAGTGGAGGAAGTGCTGCGCAATGTGCACCAAAATGCGCCATGAACGAAATTGTGTTACATCTTGCGCCAAAATGCCTTTTTTTTTTTCTTACGATGGGCGCCACACCTGCGTCAAACTGAGCTGTGCAACAATTTCAGCGCTTTGCTTAAATAATTTGGGAGTTGGTGTCTCGACCTCTCTGAAGTAAAGAACGAAAAACCGCTTTTGCCTGCATGTCCAAGTTTTCATTTCAAAAATGGACAAAGATTGAGGTTTTCGGCACCTCTCAACTCCTTCGCCATTTTCCGAGTCACGTGCGCTGTGACGTCAATGGGAATCGCGCGGGGTTCCGGTGAAGCTCTCTCTCTAGAGTCATCAGTGAGCAGCGAGAACTCATCCGCTCGCGACCGCGTGACCACCTGCTGGCGCAACACCTCCTAGGAGTTGGTTGGCGCAGCGCGAACAATATGGTGAAAGGAGGAAAGTCTCATCCGGGTCCGGCCATCCCCGTCCGTCCCTGACCCCGTCCCCCTCCAGCTTCTGACGGCTGTTCGCGGTAGCAGTTAAGAGCTGACGATTTTGTGGATCTAGGATAGACGGCGCCACTAAAACTCCGTAGAATAAAAGTTTTGTCAATGGCACCAGGTTTTTGACGCATTTATATTTATGTTGGAAAGACAAGATTTACAGAAAAGTTACCTTTTATCGAGCAGGCATTTGCACAACTTGCTATCTTTCTACAAGACTCTCATTGAGGTTATGCCGCGTGGTGCTCATGGCCGCCGCTCGCGGCTGCAGGTCGGGGAATATTCTAATTTTTGCCTCGCGATTACGCGGCGGAATCGCAACATTTCGAAGGAAGGAGGTGTGTTTTCTGTCTTTTGTGAGAAGATGCCAATTCTTTCAAGCGTTAAAATCGTTGCACGGCTCCTTTAAACAAAGCAAAAAAAAAAAAAAAAAAAAATATATATATATATATATATATATATATATATATATATATATATATATATATATATATATATATATATATATATATATATATATATATATATATATATATATATATAATATATTTTTTCCTGCGGGTTTTAATGTTTAGAGTGGATGGGGAGGAAAATGGTACAAATATGATTTCACAACGTCTCTATACACCTTTTTCGTTTACTCCCGTTCCCAGCCACCTGGTAGGCATATCCAATAGGGGAGACGAAAAAAAAAAAAAAAAAAACTTTTACCCTGCGAATAGTAAAAAAAAAAAGATTAAAAGAAAATAGAGGGGAGGCAAAACGAGAATGGGTGACGGTTACGCCCATTTAGGATATAGACGTTTTCTGGTTCCTATCGTTCTCAGTCACGCGGCTTCCGTATCTGGTATGCGGGACGATAAAATAATAAAACAATTTAACCTGGAATATGCGAGAAAATATAGGTGAGGCAAAACAAGAATGTGTGACAATCACATTTTTCGTAAACACCTTCTAGCGGCGTCGGTAGATCAAACCGATGTTTTGCCGCATACCAGAAGTGACAACATTCAAGATGGCTGAGCCCTAGTGAGAAAGGTCTATATGCCTGGTAGGCGTATATCCTAATTGTACTCTAATTGGCGTGGCGACGGCAAAGCAATGTTTTCGCCCATACTGGAAGCGACGACATTCAAGATGGCGGCGCCATCGTGGAAAAGGTCTATATGGCACCGTTTACTTGGCTTTATTCTAGAATAAGAGCACCACTCGAAGACATGCACACATATTGAAAGCGAAAGTCACGTTGCATTCGCTGTGCTTGATTGGTGTAGTCGATGAAAGGACACGCATAGAAAAATGACGAATGCCACGATGTCGCACTTTTGACGCTGGCCACGCCATCATCTGAACTTCCTGGCAACGTCGGGAGCTACAAGTCTCGCGAAAATTTAGTAAAATGGTGGGACGACGGCTACCGTGATAAGACAAAACCAGAGTATTTTTGCTCCTGATGAGATCACTTGATTATCGTGTCTGCGGCAAGATTCCATGTCGTGGCTCGAGCTTCACCGCTTTGCACCGGTGTGCTAGGAGCAGCGGCTGACATGGGATAGCGCTTGAGTTAGTGCGATAGGCTCGGAAATGGTGCCCACTGCCCAGTACTATTACAGGTAAAACTTCTTTGGTATCGATCTAATTAAAAAAGAAAAGAGCTGTTCCGAGGAAGTCAATCGATAGATACGGTAGTCAAAGTGCAGCAGTCGATCGAAAGGGCAGCGAACTCCGACTCTACTCTGGCTCCAACGCCTCTAAAGCGCAGTGGCACTTTTAAAGCACAACTGTAGGTTTTGATAATTGTTGTGGTTGATTTTTTATTTTATTTTATGATATTACAATCTTGAGTTCAGTAGGCCCAGTAATGGTGTGTGTGTGTGTGGGGGGGGGGGGGGGGTATTTTTTTTAAATTAATTGACGTTTTAGCGGACATGCTGTTTTTGCCGGCATTTTACAGAAATTACAATTACAGGGAACGAGAGGCCTTAACTCAACTGAAGTGTTGCGCTATGATACATTTTTTATGCAAAAATAATTTGTTTTCTTAATTTGCATAGTAAATGGGAACTACTCTGCCCTAGATAACAGAAAGTATAAAACAGAGAGAACGAAACACAGACGAGTACATTCTTTCATGAAAGAATGTACTCGTCTGTGTTTCGTCCTCTCTCTGTTTTATACTTTCTGTTATCTAGTACATCTTACCAACACGCTCGTTAGGAATATAATACTCTGCCCTGAGTCTTATTATTAAAAAAGTCAGCTGTGTGTTCTTTTCATGCGTCCTGTGTATTATTACAAGAGGTAATACGCAGTCATGCCTAGTTAGTACGGACCCTGTTAATATGAATACCCCGCTATATATGCTCCGTTTACCATTGAAGTGACAATGCGGGGGTTGAAGTTACATGCTCTTAGGACCAATCACACGTTGATATTTCACCACGTGATCACGCTCTCGTCCTACCCACACGAATAGAGCGGTGGTCAGGCGATGAAAGGGAGGCTGTCGATTGGTTCGGCGAGCGAGAGAGAAAAGGGGAAAGGGCTACCGGCGCTTTCCCCCTTTCTGATTGTGTAGAAAGAGTGAAAGTCCCGGATGAGAGGCTTCGCCGGTGTTGGGTGTGTGTCTGCTGTGCCCGAACTTCGTTCGCGCTTTCTTTCCTGTTTTAATTAAACTCGCAAACTTAATTAGAGCCAGAGGCTTTGATGGCAACAGTCCCCCGGTCATCGGGACACCATTGCTGCGTCATAGGGTGCAGGAATAAAAACAGAAAGCATAGAATACTGTCCAAGGACATATGTAGCTTGCAAGGAACCCGGCAAGGCGAGAGCGGCTGCAATGTCTTTCAGCTCCATCGTTTTCCACATGACCCCTGTCTCCGGCGGCAGTGGATTGCGTCCGTAAACCGAAAAGGCGTTTCCTCCACGCCATCCTCTCGACTTCGCTCGGAACATTTCGTGAATGGAGCGCGCACCGAACGCTGTACCGCCGATGAACATGGGGTACGCTCGCAATGTGCGGGCGAGTTTTCTCATGATAACTGCTTTTTCAGCTTGTAAAATTTCGTAACTGAATTTATCTTAATAGTGATAATTTGCAGTGCTGACTGACTCGATTTTATCATCTACAACACTTAGTTAAAGGCTCATTTCCGCCGCCGGGTGAGGCTGGAAATTGTTGAAAACGTAGTTCTATTGTTTGTTTGTTTGTTTTTTTAATCGCGATCTCCTGCGCGATACCAGAGAGCCGACAAAAGTGCTCCTTGAAGTGCCGCTGGTGGGTTGTTTCCGTTGACAAAGGCGCTTTGAGGCGCTTGATAGTCGCTGCAGGAACGTCTCGTGTTGTGATCTGCGTTTTCGAGCCCAGTGTGCACGTTTCTTTGTTTAAGTCATGGCATCCGCCAGTGTGGCGACGGGGGGAGCAGCGGCAGCGAACGTGACAGCGATAGAAATTGGAGACGAGTACTTAAA